ATTGAGGATGGTTATACCAGTGGGAGTATAGAGCCCAGGCATATGGTATTTGAGGAAAATCGAAATATAAATTTAGTTCCTCAGGATGACATAGTTGTCCCACTTGCTACCATGCAAGATGGTGATTTAAGTCATCAAGAGCCTGAAGAGCAAACACCTCGCATAGAAGAAATCTTAAATGAACCAATAGTTGACATGCCATTACGAAGATCAAGGAGAGAAAGGAAAAGTGCTATTCCAGATGACTATGAAGTTTATCTACAAGAGATTGAGTTCAACATCGGTAAAGAAGATGATCCACTATCATTTTCAGAAGCCAAAAGCAGCACTTTTACTCAACAATGGTCAGATGCAATGAAAGATGAGTTAGATTCTATGAAAAATAATCAAGTTTGGGATCTAGTTAACTTACCAGAGGGAGTCAGACCCATTGGCTGTAAATGGGTATTTAAAACTAAACGAGACTCAAAAGGTAAAGTTGAAAGATATAAAGCCCGACTTGTTGCTAAGGGTTTTACTCAACAAAAGGGTATCGACTATAAAGAAACTTTTTCTCCTGTTTCAAAGAAAGACTCTTTTAGAATCATAATGGCACTAGTAGCTCATTTTGATTTGGAGTTACATCAAATGGATGTAAAAACTGCATTCCTAAATGGTGATTTGCTCGAAGAAGTTTATATGGAACAACCCGAAGGTTATGAAATTGAGGGCAAAAAACATATGGTGTGCAAGTTAAAAAAATCTATTTATGGGTTAAAACAAGCATCAAGACAATGGTACATAAAATTTGATGAGATAATTACTTCATATGGGTTTAAAGAAAATATTATTGATGAGTGCATTTATATGAAAGTCAGTGGGAGTAAGTTCATTTTTCGAGTGTTGTATGTTGATGATATCTTACTTGCTAGTAGTGACATTGGCCTGTTACATGAAACCTTAACATTTTTTATCTCAAAGTTTTGAAATAAAAGATCTTGGTGAAGCCTCATTTGTCATTGGCATTGAGATTCATCGAGATAGATCTCGTGGGATTCTTGGATTGTCACAAAGAGCTTATATAGAAAAGGTTCTTAAAAGATTTGATATGCAACACTGTAAAAGTGGAATTGCCCCTATAGTAAAGGGTGATAAATTTAGTAAATTCCAGTGTCCGAGAAATGACCTAGAGCGGGAGCAAATGAAAAACATTCCCTATGCATCTGCAGTTGGGAGTTTGATGTATGCTCAGGTTTGCACACGGCCAGATATAACATTTGCTGTTGGTATGCTAGGCAGATACCAGAGTGATCCTGGCATGGATCATTGGAGAGCGGCAAAGAAAGTAATGAGGTACCTACAAAAGACAAAGAACCATTTGCTTATATATAGAAGGACCGACAGGCTTGAAGTGGTGGGTTATACAGACTCTGACTTTGCTGGTTGTCAGGATAGTATGAAATCCACTTCAGGATTTATCTTTATGATGGCTGGAGGAGCAATTTCATGGAAAAGTATTAAACAAACATTAACAGCTTCATCCACCATGGAGGCAGAGTTTATTGCATGTTATGAGGCCATTTGTCATGCATTATGGTTACCGAACTTCATTTCAAGACTTATGGTTATAGATTCTATTTCTAAACCATTGATGATTTTCTGTGACAATTCCGCTGCAGTTATGTATTCAAGGAACAACAAGAGTTCAGGAAAATCTAGACATATAGATATTAAATACCTTGTTGTAAAAGAGAGGATTCAGAACCAGCTTGTGTCTATCGAGCACATTGGTACACAACAAATGATTGCTGATCCCATGACTAAAGGGTTGTCACCTAAGCTATACGGTGAGCATGTTGCTCATATGGGTATTATTGATAGCTTCGATTTACTTAGTTAGTGGGAGGTTATTTTTGACTTAGTTGTAGACACATTTGTATTTGTGATCACATTTTCTTATATTATATTATCCTCATTTATTTAGTTTTCCATATTGGTGCACATGTGTATGGAAAATTATGAATGTCATTTATGAGACATGGTGTGTCCTTATTGAGACGCGGTAGGACCGAAGCATGGCATAATACTTTATTGTTTAGCACATGCGGTATTTATGTATAATCTTGAAGTTGAGTGTATTAATGTTTGTGACCATTGATGTCCTATATTATTAAATAATATAATGACGTCCTTGATCCAATATTGGTATACTTGTAAGGACTTCATGGAAGTTGTTTGGTACAATGATTCTCTAAATATAGATAATTTATTTAAAGTGTGCACACCAACATTATTTCAAAATATTTTTTCATAAAAAAAAAAAAATTAATTATGATTATAAGACCAAGTGGGAGAATGTAAGAATTTAATGGTCTTATTATAATAATAAATCTTTATTTTATTTTAATTATTTTACTATCCATATTTAGGAGATGTAACGTTGTATCATAACAGAGGGATGTGTTGGTTGATGGAACCAACATGTCTCCTCTTGGCAATGCTTAGAAACGGTCCCAACCCTCTATATATATACATGAATAAAAGGTCTGAATCCATCGTTCAGTTTTACAGATAAACGTAGAGGGTTGAAGAGTGTTTCTGTGTTGCAGAGTGTTTCTATAATAGTTGTTCTCAAACACAAACAGCTAAAGATGGCAGGTATGTCTCTAAACAATATTTATGCATTAGAACCATGTATTTTAAATATCGTTAAATTTGCTTACAAATAACGCTTTTGGATTGATAGATTGGTAGTCCAGAGAGAAGAAAAAAAAAGATCGAATGCATTTTTTAGGACTGTTAGGATTCAAGGTTGCCATAAGAGAGCAATAAAAGATCATTATTAAATGCTAAGTGTGTGATTGACCTTTTCTTACATTTCCTATGGAATTGAGAGATGGGCTATCAGAGATGAGGTTTTGAATATTGCTTGAAAAAATTTGCATGATAATCATGAAGAGGAAAGGTGAGAGTGGATCACCTTGCCTTAAACCTTTGACACCTTGAGAAAAGCAATGCAACTCTCCATGGTAGCTTCATTCTGTGGTGGGAATAAATCACTTCTTCTGCATGTTTGATCCCGACCTAGATATATAATATGCTACCATGGACCAATAGGCCTGTAGCTTAGCGGTATAAGGCTCCTACTTTCCAAAAGGAGGTTAGGGGTTCGAACCTCAGTGGAGGCAGTGTGTGTGAGTCCCAACTAAGAAAAAAAGAAAAAGAAAAAAGTATGCTACCATGGTAATGAGAGCATTCAACATACAAAATTGGTATGCATTCTTTTGTATTTTGTTAAGACTAGGTACAATGGATGACCCAAATGTGGTAAATGGTACAAGGGCGGACCCAGCTGTGCTCTGCAAGATCGTTTCGACATTAGGCAGTTCTTGTGTGTTAGCGATCTTTCTTTGTGCATGAATTATGCTTAATTTGGGGTCGACCTCTACCTTGAAACACTCTCTGTTATGCTCATTCCAAATATGGTAAATAGATGCTAAAATAGCCAATTTTCGAATGGAGTCGCTACAGTTTTTCTCTTTCCCATGGCGGGCTGCCCATGAGATTAAATTATCCCAGTTCACAGAACCAATGTAGAATCCACATTGTATTTGTTTAAATGCCCAAATGGGATTCAAGAATGGGTATTTGAAGAATAAATGGTCCACTGACTCAGAGAGCTAAAAGGTGTTGAGAATAGAGAGCCAAAAGGTGAACTTGTGCTTTGGAATATGGACATCGAATTCCATAACAGGTGAACCCAAGGAGCAGGTTCTGAATGTGGAGAAATGAATGGCCTGGTGTGCTTCAAAGTGAAAACACCAGATGGGGATGGAAGGAGGTCAGATAAGCATTGTTTGGGATTTCAAAACCTGAGATTTCTTGGTCATTGAATCTAGAGTAGAGTGGATTATTAGTTAACCATTTATCATCCCAAAAGGATTTGGTGGTTCCTAATCTTGAGAAGAGGCTTAGTTAGAGCTCTGAGTTACAGCAACTTTCTCCAATTCCAAGAGCAATATTTATGAGCGCATTTTATCTCCCAAACGCATCCACGAACTTTTGTGTATTGTTTGAGATAAGATGCCATAAATTGCTGATATGGGGTTTTTGAGGTATGGGCTTTAGGAGGTAGTTTGACACATCAAGATATGCTCTCTTATACTAGATGTTGTTCCTATGTCGTGCAAGCTCTATAGCCATTCTGTTATTTTTTGTTTTTATGTTTCCTCCCTATTATGGTCTGAAATTATTGAAGGTTCTTTACCATCAAAGGCAGTCCTCACTTATATCCTCTTTGGGAGAAGGGGTCAAGGATGCTTGGGGGTGCTAATTGATGTAAATTGCTGATATGGGGGTTTTGAATTATGGGATTTTTGGAGGTAGTTGACGATACACATGAATTACTTTCTCACATGCTTTCTACTTTTTTAAAGGTGTCCCGTGGTGGATTACCCAATTCAAAAAATCATAATTCCAACTACTTGGTATCAATTACATGGATTGGTTGCCTCCAGTCAGCTCTTTGTGGAATCACATCCTCAGTTAAATCCTGACAATCATCAGGACTTGAAGTTAGAAAATACGCAGTTCAATGGCAGCCCTAATCCTCGCTTGAAGATATGTGATTTTGGGTACTCAAAGGTATTTCCTGTTTTTCTCTTCCTTTTTCTCTTTGAGTATATGTTGGAGTTCGATATAAGTATTATTTTCCATCCGGTCCCACTTGTAACATTTCCCCCACCCAAACTCGCAACGCCCTCCGGACTCTTCCGGGTCGGACGCTTGGCGTGACACCGGATCAAAGATTTAGCCTGCCTCTGATACTAACTGTAATGGGTCAAATGTTTTACGATCCAACCCAAAAGCTAGAAATGTTGGGTGGGACTAATACTCAACCCATTTATACCTATTACATTTCCCATCAGAATCCAACGTGGGACAAGTTCCCACTTATAACTCTTAGCCACATCAATCATCATAAGGAAATGAAGACACGGAAATTACAATATGGACACAATTTTGTATTAAGGTACACAAGCAACTGCTCATAAATACATTGTCGTAAGAAAACAGAAGCAGCTGCTCACAATACATTGGTTGTACAAGTACATTACTTAAAACTCGTGACTACTTCCTAATCCCCCAAGAACAAATTTCTGTTCCTCAACCATCCGTTTTCCATACTCACCACCACCGCGAAGAGTTTCAGGATGTTGTTGACATATACTTCCATTTACTGCATGACTTACCAGACCACGATCAATACCTTCCCGATTGAAGTTCTCACGATTCAACAGAGGTTTCTCCAGATCTTCAGCCATGTTTCGGGCTTCAAAAGCTGGAATCAAGATAAAATTGAACGTTTCTCAGAAGTAGTAAGAAAGCATGTTTATAAATAATAGATGTCAACCGTGTCATATATGTAAAAAAAAAATAAAAATAAAAATAAAAATAAAAACTGAAAATCAGTGTCACAAATTTTAAGAAAAGAGAGAGATTACCTAAGAAGAAGATTTAAATTTTCAATGGTCCTGATTTGTACAATGGTCCTGATTTGTTCAATGGGCCTGATGTGTCCTTGAACAATCTGAGGCTAAGTGCATTTAGCCTTGCTCTAGAGTATTTGCGAGAAGCCATCCTCCAATCCATGCCGGTTGTCATCATGGCCTCAAACTCTTCATAACTGATCTGGCCATCCTGTAAATAAATACAACTCAAGAAAAGTATAATATATACATAGATACATATATATAGAGAGAGCTAGGAAAACAAAATGTCATCAAGACGGTATTAGTGTTGCTAAAATATTCTGTAAGGATTGCCTTATTTAAGTCAACAGCAAACATGATCTCCTCGACGACTTGATCACTGTCGATAACAAGGTTGTCATTCAACAAAGCTTCTCTAAGCTCTTCAAACTCAATGTACCCGCTCTCATTCTTGTCGAAGAATTGGAAAGCTTGACGGAGTTGCCCATCGTCGTCGCTCATCCTTCTCAGGTGCACAGCCATCGTAACAAACTCTTCACAACTTATGGTGCCATTTCCATCAACATCCGCCTTTGGACAAAAGAAAATATGTTCTCAGTACTGATGGTGGTGACAAAATCCAAAACTTAACAATCTTTGGAGTTTATGTAGTACTGAAAGGTAAAATAGTACAATTGGGCTGCTATTGATAGGAGCAGTCTGACAATTTCAAATTTCCAGATAAAAATTTTCCCGACTGAAATCATATGGGATTAAGGCAAGCATGATGATTGATAAAAGTGCAACCTTAAAGCTTATGATCATTTATCCAAGTCACGCAAGGTAATATCAACAGTGTCCTATTAGTCAACAACATAGATTGTTTCTACCAGAATGATGAAATATATGTGTGTGTCTGTGTGTATATAATGATTTTCTGATAACATGGTTGGTGATGAATATGATGATCAATGAGATAGAAAAACAGTTTTTTTTCCAGATAAAAAAACAGAAACCGAAAACTGCAGTGAGATGTTAAATTTAGCAAAAAGCTGCAAGGTAGCAACAATGCAGTCATGCATTGTTAGAACAATAGAGAATGGTCCTGAGTGAAAACATAATTTCAAGGTATTCTTTCTATTATCTGTTTAGGAATTGTTTTTATTTTTGAGTATTCGGAACACCATCATCAATCTATCCTGCATTATACGTGCATGTACACATGCAGAAGACAAACATAAAAACAATTCAAAAGAAGACCACGCGATTAGTAAGGTTCTGAATAAGATAAACTCACAGCATCCATTAACAACTTCACATCAGGATCAGAAACAGTTTGCCCAATCATCCTAAGGCCGTGTTTGAGCTCCACGAAATTCAAATTTCCATTTTTGTCAGTGTCCATCATATGGAATACATTTTCAATCTGATTTACTTGCTCATCTGGCAAGTTATATGCGACCACCTAAAATGAAGACAGGTAGAACAGATTACTATGGTTGAAATAACTTACACTCCAACAGAGACATTCTCGTACAGAACATCAATAGAAGGAATTCACAAACTCACTCTGAGGGCTGTCTTCTTGAACTTATTCATCAAGGAGAATTGCATAATTTTACATCTAACACCTTCTCCCAAAGGACACGAGGGGACTTTATCCGGGTTCTGTATCCATCGGTGTGCTTCAAACGACAAACAAGAGAATAGTTAGTTCATTTTTTTCTTGATACTTTCATATGCATAATAGAGTACCTACCAAGGACCTCTTCAACCGTCATTCGATTGTATGGATTTGGATCGAGCATACCCTTCACGAGATCCTTTGCATCTTCAGAAATTTTTGGCCAAGGATCCTTCTCAAAATTTATTTTGGATCGAATAATCGCATGTGCAATTCCTTCTTCAGATTCTGTGCTAGTTGGCGCCAAGGCCCAACGGTTAAAAAGAAAAAGAAAATTCACGAAAGGAAAAGCAACAGTGTTAGAGATAACAATTACATTCAATGGAAGTACTTGAATTGAGAAAGAGAATGTACCTGCCCAAAAAGGAGGAACTCCACACAGCAAGATGTAAAGAATAACACCTGCACTCCATATATCACATTCTGGTCCATAATCACGTCTGAGGACTTCGGGGGCCATGTAATAGGGGCTTCCAACTATGTCACCGAAACGCTGACCTAAAACCAGATTAGATAGATCACAGTTCAGCAACATAAATGTACTTTGCAAAAATCTGAAGGTCAAGTAGAAGCAGCTTATAAAAAGTCAGGTCTTAGTAGCCAATCCAGTCTCGAAGACATACCAGGCTCAAAGAATATGGAGAGGCCAAAATCGATTGCCTTTAGGGGAGCAGATTCTGTAACATTAGCAAATAAAAAGTTTTCGGGTTTTAGGTCCCGGTGTACTACTCCACGATTATGGCATACCTGCAACGTGTGTAAAATCATTTGACAAAAATTAACATGCTGAGGTAAGGCCATCACCAAAATTGAACGACAGTATGAACAAAAAATTACTTGTGAAATCTCTAAATTTGATAAAAAAATTCGACTGCCATTAGACATATGGTCTGAAGCAAGACCCTGAAAGTACTTAAAGCAGTAATTAAAGATAATATGTTTAAAGCAATTTCTCTTGATCTAGAGCTTCAAGAATGATGCTCAAATTTAATCTTTTTGACACTTGAAATCAAACTTTTTCTCAAGTTTTTGATGCCTTGACTAAGTGTTTCTGGGAAGTGACTACACATTAAACTCAACTTCTTTCATTCTGTGCAGTAGACATATAATTGTGACCTTTTTGCATTAAAGCTACTTAATATTTCACCAAATGAGCTGCTCTTTTCATCCTTTTTGAATGCTACAATAGATTTCACCAAAATGAGTTGCATTATTAATATGATTTTATTCATTCACAGACCATTTCCCCCCTGATTTACCAATTCTCACGAGCAAAGAATTCTCGGCTACTCAAAACGATCTGCTTATATTCGCTTTCTCTTCCATTGGTTTATGTCAAATCCATTGTTCATTGCCGTTGTCATCCTTTAATATTTAAATCCTTCAACAGGCCCCGTGTGGCATTCTTTTGGTCCAACACGTGTTCCAATTTTAATTATTAAAGTGATGGTGAGATTTGAACACAGAATCTTGCCTGCTTTAATTCCATGTTAACCACCATCAACTTAATCTATTCTCAAATTTAATCTCCAAATCCAAATTGAGGAAGAAGGCTCGACTTTTTTCAACAATTTGATTAATAAAATCTCAAAATCATGCTATATCAATTCAGAGATGGTTTTCAAATAACAATCACATATAGAAATAACAGAGGAATTAATGAAAAAAATACCCCAAAAAAAAGGGGGTGTTTTATGGGAGGAAGGAGAGAGAAACACAATCAATACCTGAACAACCTCGACAATCGTCCTGGCGACCATTGCAGCGGCTTGTTCGCTGTAATGCCCTCTTGCAATGATCCTATCGAACAATTCACCGCCCTCACAGAGCTCCATTACAAGATACACAGCCTCTCTGTCCTCATAAACCTCCTTGTACCTAACAATATTCGGGTGAGGCGGCAATTGCCTCATGATCTCCACCTCCCTCCTCACATCCTCCACCACAATATCACTCTTCAGCTTGCTCTTCGATATCTTCTTGCACGCTAGGGTTTCGCCGGTCTCCGTGTCCAAACACTGGTAGGTCACCCCGAATTCCCCCCTCCCCAATTCCTTCCCGAATTTGTACCTCTTGAAAATGTCATTCCCTGATGGATCTTTCAAGATTGTGATCGGTCTCGAGAACCGTGGAGTGATCGGACCCGAGAACTTGATGGGACCTGAGAATTTTGGGGTGATCAGACCCGAGTACCGTGGGGAGATCGGACCGGAGGACCGTGGGGTTCGGGATTTGGGACGCCGGTATGAGTCGGTGTCGGTGTCCGGTAAGGATTTGAAAACTTTGGATTTCTTCAGAGAAGTTACTCTGGCGTGCATAGAAACGCAACCACCCATGGGATCGATGAATTATATCTATTTCATGAACATCCCATGGGAAGAGAGAAGAATCCAAATCGAAAAATATATATATATATATATATGTTTGTATATATATGTGTGTGTGTGTGTGTGTGAAGAAAGAGAGAAAGAGAGAGAGGAGAGAGAGAGATGGGAATGCTAAGTTAGAGGAAGGGCTGTGGGAGGTTGTCTGGTAATAACGGAAGATCCTGAATTTGAAAAGTAGTTATATGGTGTTGATAACATGCGCGCCTTTTTTTGAGGAATGTTTGGACGCAGTGCTTATCTTTTCCACAGATTAGAACCTTCCACTTTTCTTTTCTTTTCCTTTTTGGATGAATGTTGTGTTATGATTTTTGGATTTGGAGTTAGATAAAATTAGTTCAAATTTTCTATTAAATTTATTTCAAAATCTAATTCAAAATTTTCTTAAAATAGGAAATTAAATATATAAAAAATCGCAGTGCACAAGTTGTACATACCCATTCCATCTTTCTAGACAATTCTTGAAAGTTAGACTCAATTATTGAAAATGTTACAATATCCGCTCCTCCAATGGATTTTGCAATATTTTCAATAATGTAGGATAACTTATAGAAAAATTGTATAGTGCTGTAAAGTTTAATCTTAATTTTGGGTACAATATTACTCATGTATATATCTTTTTATACATCAGTTACACACGAATACATTATTCTGTGTACAAAAAAAACGTACACTGTATAATATTAATTATGATCCGTACATAATTTTTTACATCACTTATAAGGCATATATGCTACAAGCATTTTTTATTCTCTCCCTTCTTCTTTTTTTTCCCCCAAAGTTTAACAAAACACATAAATGTAATAGTCTCTAATATGGTTCAAATCTAAGTCACATAAAGTGAGAATGGGAGTGTGAGAGCGGGAGAATTAAGTCATAAATTGTGAGAATTTGAACCAGAGTGCGCACGGAGCGTGAGAACGACACCTGTTAAGAAGAATTGTTTGACTTAGGATCAGACACATTATTTTTTTTTTGACACGTTTACCAAAAAAAAAAAAGTTATCTACATGTGCAAAATTTGTGTATATCATTTCTTTTTCATGAAAAGAAGAAGAAGAAGAAGCAAAGTTATTTGTTTGTGCTAACTTTTGTGAAGATAATCATATGCAATTACATACAGTGATAGGACATTTTGGACATTTCACATCAAAACACAAAAGAAAATCACACGTAAGTATATATGGGAAGTTGTTTTTGCACCTCGTGTAAAAGCTTTAGAATAATTACACTTACCTCTCTTATAAAGTTTTTAAATAACAAGAAATTTTTTTTTTTAATTATTATTATTTTTTATTTAATTTCAAATATAACACTGACCTTCTCTGTTAGGGTTAAATTTGACCCCATAGTGTTAAATCACTATTTTACTCATCGTATATTTTTTTAATGTAAAATATATGTTCCACAAGAGTTTTTAACTAAAAGCATTCTCAGGTATAAAGTATATATTAAGTATGACTTCAACAAAAACAAGAGTATAAGATTTTATGGCAAGGAAGGTTAGTGTTATTCAGAACTAAATTAGATGGGTGGTTAGTGATGTATTTGAAACTAAAGAGAATGTTCTTGTTATTCAGGCAATTTATAAGAGAGTTAAGTGTAATTTTCTTAAAGATTTTTTAAATTTTGTTGGGCAAGTCTTCAAAAATTTATTTTAAAGAAAAAACATCTTTTAATTTTATGTCCATGGAAAGATGACTCTAAAAGTCTGTGTATCAGAAGTTTGTGAAAAATACTATAGGAGGGGGTTGATCCAATTTTGTAATGGCACTGTGTTGCATGGCAATGAAAGGCCTCGGTAACAAGGGTGGATCTATGGGTATGTTTAGGTGGGCTCAAGTTCACTTCAAAATTTATTATTATTATTATAGGTAATTTTAATTTTTAGCCCAATTTAATTTTTAAATTTGTTTTTTATTACTAGTATTAGCCTACCCCATTAACAATATCTGAATTTGCTTTTTTTATTATTAGTATTAGTCTACCACATTAACAATTTTTGAATCTGCTCTTACATGTGAGTGAGTGATCGTAATTTTTCACTACACTACATCCTAACTCTCTTATAAAATCAATAAAAATAATAATATTATTATTATTATTATATTGTATCTTTATTAGGAGGAAAAATTTAAAATCATTCATTTCATATTAATCACAAGTTTCATATCAACCAAATCTATTGTAACGTTTTGTTCTTGATTTTTTATATCTAAATGGCATGTGGTAGGTTGTAGCCTTGTAAGGGTTTTTCATATGATCATATCAAATTTAGATATTAAGTGAAATTTTTTAGGCTACCTCAAAGAAATTGAAGTGATACAAAAATACGCTTTGAACAAGAAGTCTAACTTGATTTGTTTCCAATCAACTTCTTTATTTTTATTTTTTTGTAGTCCTTTTTACAGTATTATACCATTCTCTTACAATTTAGACATAAGCTCATTAATTTAGAGAGATAAAAATATAAAATACATTATTGTAAGTTCAAGTAGGGTACACATAACTATGATAACTTTTTTGAGAAAGTGAAAATTTTGATTTTATTTATCTATTTTTTGTCATGAAAAACTTATCAAAAAAAAGAAAAAGAAAAAATGCACAAAAGTGTAGATTTCGCTAATAGAAATTAGGACTGCAATTCGGGCTTGCATGGCACTCATCTCGGGCTAGGTCATCTCGAGCTAAACCTATATAGAAAGTCCGAGCCCGTACTGAACCCACCTCTGAAGAATTTGTGTAAAAAAATAAGTCAATTAATGCAACACCTATGGCATAAATCTGAAACCTTTTATTAAGTATAAATCCCAAACATACTACTAACTTGACTACCACCCTATTGTGACTCAAGTCTAATTATAAATTTATATAAAATTTTTGGGCTTCGGGTTTCATCTATATCAATCCAAACTCCCAATTGGGGCTCAAAATATATAGTTCAGGTCCAAACCGAAATTAGAAAAATATTACTTAAGCCCACAAAATTTTAAACTGAGTTCGGATAATTTCGAGTTGAACCTTGTCCGAATTGCAGTCCTAAGATAAATGCACACTAATAGGTCAATGCGTGTAGATTAAGTTTGAAAATATACATTAGCTTTTTTTTTTTCTTTCGGCACTTTGATGACTGGACTTTGAAAAAAGCTTTGGAGAGGGAATTAAACAGACTAATAGATAAAAACACAGTAGTTGGATTCAGAATTCTTGAATATCCGAGGTATATTCCATTGATAACTTTGGGAGGTACATACTACACAACCATACACGTTCGTTGCTAAATGAAGGCAATTAATTTGCTGCTTATAGAAACCGAAACCAAAACAATTAATTACACGCATGATAATATCCATTAAATAATATCGGTTAGATGCATCCGTTACATGAGGTGCAATTTTTATTTTTATTTTTATTTTTTAATGTTGAATACTCTCTTTATTTATATTTAATTTCTTTTCCATTTCAATTTGGTTGGGGACAAATAATCCCAACCAGATCGACTTATCACCCACGTGGTCGCAAGTTTGACGCAAACTCCATTCTACACCGAGCGACGCAAATGACGGTGGCAGACCAACCCGCCGTTTCCTTCCCTCTTTCCCTTGACTTTCCACCACGCTTACACAAGGAGTACCAGAACAGAAAGAGAAAATATCAACAAATTAATGCCCTTCTTTTTAATAAATTTACCAAAACAAACTCAAAACTCAATAAATATAAAATTTTGTTGAACCAAAATAATAAATAATAAGATTTAAATATTAATTCATAATAAATCAGAATTAATATATTTTAAATTTTTCTCAACACTTTTTGAAAATGAAAGTGTTGCATGACTTTATAAATGCTATTAAATATTTTTCTCAAACAATCTATTGATGTTAACAAAATCTTATTTTTCTTTTTTTAGATTAAAAATCATATTTTCTTCCATGCGATTATATGTGTTTTTACTCTTTATTAATTTTTGTAAAATCATATAAGGAGATATAATGGTAAAAAAATACTCCATTTTCAAGGTATGGAATACTGCATTCCCTTTTTAAAATAATAATAATAATAATAATAAATTGTATCACACATTTTCAAGGTAATGTTTAGAAAATTTGCATATTTAGTAAAGGAAGTATATAAATTTATTAGGGTTAAAAGAATTCTACACTATCAATGGTTAAAAGTAACTTTAATAATTTGATACATTCAACGGTACAATTAATTAAAATCTTCTTGCAAGCTTTCATTAATTTTTACAAAAGCATTTATAATTCGAAGAGATAATTATTATTATTATTATTATTTTTATTTTTTTGTGAAGTCAAGCCTAAAAAAAAAGCGGGGGCAATATTGGAACTTCGAAGCAGTTCAACTGTGGAAGTCTGAAACGAAGCTTCTCTCTCTTCCGTGGTTTCTTTGACTTCAAAAAAATGGCCGGTCATGGCAAGATCTTTTCTCTGAAATTGCATACTTTGATCTTTGACTTTCGTCTCATATAAAAAAGGGCAATACTTTCGTCTTGTTTAGTATTCAGATTCCGTGCTCTCTATGCTCAATTGCTCCTATTGTTCCTTTGGTATGTTCTAGATTCTTTGCTCATATCAAATTCATTCTTAACTTGTCCGATGCTATTATTGCTTCTATTTATTCCTGGGTTTTCTTCATTGATGTAATTGAAGATGTGGGTTTGGTTATTTTTTCCCTAATTTCCAAATTTAAAATTTTCTTTATTTGCTTAGTGCTAGAAAGTATTGATATTGTTGAAACTCCCAAGGTCTTATTATTATTTCATTTGATTTTATTGCCATTTATTTTGGTTGTTTGGTATATACTTGGGATTGTGTTGTTGTTGTTGATGATGTTCTTTTTTTTTTTTTTTTCTTCCTTTTTTGTAGTTAATTTTTTCTTATGTTTATTGCTCTTCTGCCCAGGATATAATTGTTGTTATGGGTTTGTTTTAGTTTTACTTATAATATTGAATTTCTTAGGAAAAAAATAATTTCAGTGTTTCATTGTTGTTTTTAGGGTCTTTGTTAGTGCCATGGGGTTAAAATTTTCTTTTCCATTTTCCTTTCAATGATGGATTCACTTATTTGGTCTTCTGTTAGAGTTGTGTTGTTGTATGATAATCAGAACTACAGTTGTTGGGTTTTACTTGGTGTTTGGGGATTTCTGGTCTACACTAAGTGAATTTCTACGCGGAGACAGCTTATAAGTTGTAGAAGCAATTCGGTTTTGAAGCCTAGTAGAAATTAGACGAGTTCACAATAAAATTTTGTTTCTGGTAGTCTCTTCACCCTTCTTTACAACAACCACATGTTGCAATTCCAATAAATGACCTCAATTCTATTATATATTGGTGCTTGTAGTAATGTCGCATTTTATACCATGAACTTGTATTCCTTAGACAAAATGATCTGATCAATTTCCATGAAACCCCTATTGGCTTCTCTCTCCTGCTATAAAAATGTTAATTGCAGATCACGGAACACTTGGTTCTCAAGGGTACTTGATTGTATCTCGTTATGTGTAACTCTGCTGTGTTCATTGTGATTTGTCATATGAGGCATTTGTTGATCTTTTTGCATAGTCGGCCATCTGCTTATACAATTATTTATGTTTTTCCCTTTTTTGGTTTTTGCAGTGGTGCATATTTTGAATTTCCATGGACCCTTTAGGATTAAGGGGTTTAATTTGTTTCTTTTCCCTCGCATCATTACAGTGTTCAGTGACTTAGTTTATTGGGACCTAGTCTCTGTGTTTATGTGTTGGGATCATATATTCCTGCTGGAATTTAATCTGTGTTTTTGTATTTGAAGCATTGTTAATGTTTCATTTTGGCAATTAATATTCTAAAGTATTTGTATTGATAGGTTGTTCATTTCCAATAACTTCATATCCCCACTGATCAGGCTACAATGCGTGCACCATCACTGCTTGCACAATGCTTGCCTGGGTTGGTACCCCATGAGCGGGGAAGTCAGAGCATTTCCACCATTTCTGAAAGAGAGATGCATCTCGTTTCACCAGCTGTTGAGATTATCCCATCGAAGGTAGAAATTCTGATTGCATGTTAAGCTGCTTTCACGTTTAAATACTCATGGACATATTTTAGTTGGAGCTTCTTTTTTTTGATGGGTTCAACATTGTCATAGAAATTCACTTGTGATCATCATTTCCTTTTTGCAGACAGCTAACCCTTATAAGTATGCTGGAGAGAATGTAGATATGCAAGGACTCAATGTGTTCAAGGTATATTAAGTCATAATTTATTGGTTTCTGCTGGTTCGTACATATATCTTGGTTGTTAGTCTAAAATTTTCGTGGAGACCCTGCTGCAACATTAAATTTAGGAAATAAAATGCACATGGCAACTTTGTTCGTTGATCCGTTGTTTCTATTTGTACAAGTAAAGGTTACATGTCTCATGGAATAGTGTCCAAGTATATTGACATGCTGTTACTATTTGGCACTGTAAGAAGGTGTATGATACAGCAAAACAAAGTGTTAAAATAAAAATTGCCATGTTAATATATTTGGAATTCTTAGTTGAACACTGCAAAAACTATCTTCTGTTTTTTTTTTTTTTTTCTTTTTTTTTTCTTTCCTGATGGGCTCGGGGAAGGGTATTGTTCCATTCAAGTAGAGTGTGTCCTTTATGAGGGATAGATAACGTGGTAGAATTTAACCTAGCTACTATATATATATATAGTCATCTGATGTAAGTGTATTTATATGCTTCCAAATTATTTTGCTCCCTACATTCCTACTTTCTAGACATTATAGAGAATTGAGAGTTCTAATTTGTTTCAAAATGAGTGAGGAGGAGAATCAGTAAAAGTAGCCTGTTCATGTGGTAGATTGATGAATTAGTGATGGGATATGTTTTTGGTTTTTTTGTTTGTTTGTTTGTTTGTTTTTATTTTTTTATTTTTATTTTTTAGTATAAGATCAATAATATACTTGATGAATTACAGCTTCCCTTTCAGATCAGTATCTGCTTTTCATATCATAGCTGAGGTAGTAAACTGTCAATTCATGTTTTTTCCTTGTGCAGGGAAGAGTTAGTGTTTCTGATATAATTGGGTTTACTGGTTCAGAAATGATTTCTTCAAAAGCTGATGGTACGTAACCATCTTGCAATACTCTTCAAAAGAGTTATTCATTTGATTCGGCAGTGGTCAAATAAATGAATGTTATTGATTTCTTGAAGCAATTCTACTCAATCTGTATATTGGAATTGTTAGCTACTTGTTTCATTATATTTTAGTGTTAGAAGCTAATTTGGTTCTGGTGCAGGATCTCTTAAATCTTGGGACAGCTCAATTGATCTTGTTAATATCCTTAAGCATGAAATTCGTGATGACCAGTTGAGCTTTAGAGGCAGAAGGGTACTCGAGGTAATTCAGTATATATGTATGCATATGTATACATTAATTCATTGAGACCCTATTTGTGGTTGACTGTCTTCAACTTGTTGCATTTATGTTTCAAGCATAAAGGAATGGCTTAGTGATATTTGATGGATTACATCTGGATAATATTTATTCTTTTAATGGATAAGGGTTAGCTTCAGGAATCTGTATTTTCTTGTACGCATTTCCTTTATATATACAGACATTGTCGTAAGCATACAGATTCATCCTTTATTTAAAATAAATCTTTATGGGTGTAAATGAAGCAAATAATTTTCTAGTTTGCGCTTAGTTTATCTTACTGTTTGCTATATTTACATTTTAAGTGACAAAATTCTTCCATGAATCACTCTTCTATGTTATTATTAGGGATGAGTTGGCATGATTCTTCTGAAAGTATAATTACTGCTCCAGCTCCACTGCCTTTGACATTCTTCTTCCAATCCATGAGGGGAGGCAATTCTCAGGGAAAAGAAATGTAAAAGATAGTCAAATAGTCATAGTTTTGCTTAGTTGATCTTCATGTTAACTATATTCTATTCTATGTGGTATAATTATTCCACAAATCACTCCTAGCTCTGTGTCCTTTTCCATATGCACCTTTGAAATAAATTACTTTATTCTGTATTTTCAGTTTTCTCTATTGTCAGTGATTATTCGTGGTGTGCTGGTGACTTGGCGTTGATTCATCAGATATCTACTGCCTTGCTGCTATTAACATTCACCAGCCAGCAAAGGAGGCGATTCTCAGGGTAGAAAAAAATTGAAGATAATTTAAGTTTGGCCCAAACTATGGTAGTTTGAAACCAATTGCCTCTAATATAATAAGGTGGATTCCACATTGTGGTTTGGAACAATTCTTTGGTTATCAATTGGACTCAAATTATTATTCCAAAATTCTAGTTATGCAATATAGACAAAATCCTTGTGAAGGGCAGTTTTGTTTGGTAACGAATTGATTCAAAGATGCCTAAATATGCCACTAGACCATTTCTCCTAACCTTATCGCTTAAACTTCATTATAGTTTTTGGTTGTTGGAAGTTTTGTCATCCTCTTCTTTATGGTAGGAGTAGGAAAATTTAATGCGTTTGATTGTTCTCCATGTTTGAAGTTGAGAGTTAATCTTGTTGTTTTGTGATTTTTTTTTTTTCAGCTCAGTTGCAGGTATGGACTTGCTGGGATTTTTGCTTGCCTTAAGGTAAATTAGCATTAACCTTTCTTTGCTGCATCTATCGTGGTTTTAGTTCTCACGCTAACTAATTTGAGTCCAAAATATGAACATCATAACTTATTTAGGTAGTTCTTTTTTCCCTACCGTGATAGGTAGAAGGTTCATTCTCTCCCTGATTCTTTAACAAGCTGAAAAGGGCTTTTTCAATATACTCCTATATATTTTGCTGAATATTAAGAATTACCGTTTGTGTGTCTACCTGGGGTGTCCAATGCATAAACTCATAGCTGTCAAATGATTTGGGATCATCTAAATCATAACTTAACTCTGAACAGTTCTCTTATGAGAATATCTCCACCTTCAAGAGTGATAACTTCACCGTTTTAACTTAACCATCTGGTTATTTAAATTGAACATATCGTGAGGTGTGTTTAGAGGATTAGAGTCCTTAAATTGAACAAATCGTCATTTTTACGCACTCCACTTGAACAGTAGGTCAGAACCTGGTTGATAAGAAACTTTTCTGCATCATAATCCTGTTTACGTAAATGTTAATTAACTGAATGTGGAAAAGGCCTAAAGCATATGCACTTGTCTACATTTTGCCTAAGAAACATATATGCAAATTTATTTGAATCGTCAGGAGAAAAAGTATAATCTCAATTGAGTTCTTATGTGTGATGAGTTCATGACAATATAATGTTTCAAGCGTACAACTGTCAAACTAGTTTAGTGTAAGGGGAAATATATGAAATACGTAAAGGGGTTTGTTCAGAATTTGAACTTTACAGCTTTGAAGAGATATCCATAAAGATAGAAAGCAGCAGTACCAACTAGAATTTGATTTAAATACAGTAAATTTTGACTTGATCTGATTATTCTGACAAACCTTTTACAGGGAGCTTCTACAGTTCATTTTCAAGAACTCAATGCAGAAACCATAAGATGCACAACTATCCCTAATGTCCTAGCTAATCTTGAGCAAGCTCGGGACAGGCAAAGCCGACAGCCAGAGAGTCCCCTGACTCCATCCAGGCAAATTCTGGCCCCAGCAGTGCATTTTTATGCTGGGGATTGGGAAGAGCTCCCCACTGTCTTATCTGTTGTGAGAAATGATGGATTTGAAGTGCCAATAGGGCCGAGCTTCTTTGAGGATGATTTTATGGATGGGTGTTGTAGTCAAGATGGCAGCATTGCAGGCCATGAGTCTTTCTCGAGGAGATCAAGGAAGCTTTCAGGAAGCCGGGCATGGGATAGGGTGGGTGAAACAGACCAAGGAGAAGGTGGGTATGATGTTATTCTGATGACGGAGATCCCATACTCAATGACCTCTTTGAAGAAACTATATGCACTCATAAAAAAGGTTAGTGAGTTTCATTCTTCGGCTTCATTCACGGGTTAATATACAATATAATCATCATCACGTCATCCTTGCCTTATTCCCATATGAATAGGGTCGGCCATATGAATACAGTATAATGCATCAAAGCTATTATCAGCACTCTTCCTTTCTGATAAACTCAAATTCAAAGCAATTCAAAATTTGAGGGAACGTGGAAAATTTGAGACCGAGTTGGGTAAAGTTGAGTTTTAGTGGGGAATAATTAGGAAATTATATAATCTGTTGCAGATATTTGCCTGATTCAATTGGGTAATTTTTGCTTGATTAATGAGCCTGTTGGAAGTTGGAATTCTGAAAATTTGATGAATTGTCACAGTGCTTACGATTCTGGCCAAACTGTAACGTATAACGGTATATGCAAAGAACAAGCAAATGCACTAGATCCCACTACTCTAACCAAAGTTTATTAGATTTAGTTAAATATAACCCAACAAAATTTTAAGTTATGGCTATTGCCGGTAGTTTGTCAACAGTGGGTCCGGAACCCTACAATGCCATCAGTCTTGTTCCATTTTTTTGCCTTTTATATTTCAATTTAATTGTTTATGGATTGCAAATGGTTATTTTTCAATTTTTTTTTTTTTTTTTGTTCTATTGTTGTTGCACCACATCTTTATTGAACAGTGTTTAATAAATTTCCTCTGTTTGGGATCACCAGTGCCTGAGGCCTCCATATGGAGTACTATTCTTGGCCACAAAAAAGAACTATGTTGGCTTCAACAGCGCAGCTCGCCACCTAAGAAGTCTGGTAGATGAAGATGGCATTTTTGGAGCCCATTTACTCAAAGAAATGACCGATAGAGAGATATGGAAGTTCTTTTTCCGATGAACATACAGAAAACAACTGTAAGATATACTATAATTTAGGTCTCATTTATTCAACATTAACCCTTTTGTACAATGTCACATGTCACATGTCTTTATTACTTTTTTCCAGTTAGTATGAAGAGTCAATTGAAAAGAATAGTTGGCGGGCTTCTATTTGTCCTGCCAATCCTTGTGTATTCTTTTTTCCTTTTTCAAGATTGTTCTATGTTAAGTTGCAAAAATCGAAAGATTTAGCGACTCCTAAATTTATATTATGATTAAAACTTTTATACGTATTCATCAATCTTATGCCGGGTTCCTGATTTTCTGTGTAACATTCTTGGGTTTTGGCTGGATTTATGCTCAATGTATCTGCTGTTTCATAGATTTTAATTTGGATAGTGTTCTTTCTTGTTGAATGAAAGTGGATGCTCTCATATCAAGGGATGTTTGTGAAAGTGAGAAATTTTGAAACTGGTATACTTGGCAGGTTTTCCCTTCTCTTGTTTCTGGTTTATGAAAATGAAACTGTGTTAATGCATGCGTTCAAATGGTTCTCTGCACTACACAGGCTTAGAACTGATACCAAGGATTAACCTTCGAAAAATTATTATATGGTCTACAACCATGTGGTGCCGGACAATCACAATGTGAAAGTTTTATTCACTTTTGTTTTCGGTTTATGATTAGTCGGGACCATGTGGTGCCGGACAATCACAATGTGAAAGTTTTATTCACTTTTGTTTTCAGACCATGTAATAATTGCTCATGAACGTTCATGTCTCTCTCATTGGAAATGCTGGTTTTGGCAATGTATCAAAAGAATGAGTTTGCATCATTGACTAAAAACACTCATGAGATAGGTCTAAAATATGGTTTCTATTTGATATATATATTTCAGAACTTATAAAAATCTCATCATATTTAAAGAGATTTTTTGAAGAACTTTTGAGGACAGTGAGGTTTTTGAGTCCCGGATCATTTAATAATTGCTCATGAACAAATACAACGAGTCTCAATTATAACATACTTTATGATTTATTTCGAAATATTTCTTAAGCTTGTATTTTCATGTACAAATACAATGACTTCTTAATTAAAAAGAAAACTTTACTTTGATTTGAAATTTAGAATAATTTAAAATAAGATAAATGGATGATGAACGGATCTTTTTTTTTTTAAATAAATAAATAAATAAGGTCTTCTAATTGGAGGACCTCCACTCAGACACGCCCCCTGGCCTGACCTGACTTGCTTACTATAATATATATATATATATATATATATATATATATATATATAGTCCTGATCTCTTATTCCCCATGGAGCAAGAAAAATAATCCACCCTTTCTATATAGACCGTTAGATTAATCTAACGATCATTTTACAAACCCACCAATGGCTTTTCCTTTTAACACAAAACCACTCTCATCCTATTTTTAGTTTCTATAATTAATTTTACCATTACCACCCACTGTAACAATAAAAGGTAATTATCAAAATAAAAATAGAAACCTTTGAAAAAAAATTAATTCCCTTATATTTTACTAATAAATTTGTTTTTATTTAAATGTTTCTTTGAAAGGAAAAACAATATCCGTATATTGCTAGGAGGCTTAATAGTGTCTGGGGTGCCTGGTTTTTCTTCAGTTTTTATTTTAGACCAACTTTGAATGAGAAATCAAAGAGTAAGATCACTTGGGAGAGTAATTGGGCTGGTGGGTATGATAAATTAGACTTGAAGCTTGATGTTTTCATGGTTCAGCATGGTATGGAGAATATGTATATGTGGGTTTTCAAGGAGAGGTTTGAAAATGCATTGGGAAAGATGCAGCTGAGATGTTAAGCAGTGTGTACGATTCCGGGATTTAGAGGTGTTTCATGTTGTTTTAGAACCAAAGCTCTCATGGAAAGAAGTATTATTGTTATAGTTATTTGTGCGTGCACGTGTGTATAATTATAATATTATACAACTGAATAATGGAATCATATGACATTGACTTTATTCAAAATTGTTAAAGCTTAAACTAAATAAAATGAAAACAAAAAATTTAATCTTTTTGTAAAGGGATGTAACTTAACAAAATTTAAAACATTTAATTCTCAAAGCCTTAAAGTAAACTCTTCCTCGACAAATAAAAGTAAAGCTACGGGAATTAATTTTTTTTTCAAAGGTTTCTATTTTTACCTTTTATAATTATCTTTTATTGTTATAGTAGATGGTAATGGTAAAATTAATTATAGAAACTAAAAGTAGGGTGAAAGTGGTTTTGTGTTAAAATGAAAGATCATGGGTGGGTTTGTAAAATGACCGTTAGATTTAATTTAACGGTCTATATAGAAAGTGTTGATTATTTTTCTTGCTCCATGGGGAGCAAGAGATCAGGGCTCTATATATATATATATACACTAAATTTATATATTTTTACATGTATATATGAAAAAATTCATATAATGCCCTCCCTAAAAATTTTATTTTATAAAATTATCTTTTAAATTTTGTGTTTCTTCTCTTTTTAACTCTTTAAATTCATTTAATTTTCTTTAAAAAAAAATCAAATTTTCCTTTTTGAATCAAACTCCAATTATTTTCCTTTTCAAAATTCTCTCATTTTTCTTTCCTTTTTAAAATTTATCTTTCTTAAATTATTATTGATTAACATATTATTTTTAGTAATTTTTCTTCTTTATTTCTTTATTTATAAAATCTATATTTATTGTCGTAATTATTGATTTTTTTTTTTTTTTTTTTTTACTTACCCCCGTGAATTTAATTTCTAGCTCTACCCTGCATGGGCACTAGATACAATTCATCCGGTGTTGAAGGTCCATTTTACCATCCAACTGCCCTTCGCCTGCATGAACTGAGCAAAAAATATTTTAAAACTTTACATTCACATTTAGAATTACACGTTTAATTTAAATTTTATTAATCTTATAAAGTCATTATTACTCAATAATGCTAATTCACGCGAAATATTAAAGTGAATCTGTCATCTTACCACTATGTAATAGTCACTTTTGTTAGAATTGTTTGGTTCGCTAAATTTTTCACTATGAAAATAGTTTGTCATTTTTTTTAATTCAATTCAAAATAAAATTTAAAAATTCTGTATTCAATTTTTTATTTTTCTAGAAAAATCTCCATTTTGGTAATTTTTAGGCCCGCAATTTGGAATATTGGGCTTGATCAAGCCCATTTTCAGCCATTATTGTTTATACACGTTAGGGATCGAATAAAGTTAGCACGTGAGTCACGTGACCTTCAAAGTAATAGTCTTCGCTTAAAAAAGCAAACACATAAAGGAAACTATAAAAATCTATAAAATATAATGTCAGTTCAGAGACTCTTCAAAGACAATCCTCGGAATCTCAGATAGATAGATCTGTACGGAGTCAAGACTCGGGCACGATTCGACTCGGAATGGACTCGGACGATGAGCAGAGAATTCCCCTGAGCCGGCGACCGGAGTGGTCCGACGTCACTCCGGTCCGGCAGGACGACGGTCCGGAGCCGGTTGTCCCGATCGCCTACAAAGAAGAGTTCGCCGAGACCATGGACTACTTTCGAGCCCTCTACTTGGCCGACGAGCGCTCCACTCGGGCGCTTCAACTCACCACCGAGGCCATCCACATGAATCCTGGAAATTACACTGTAATTCTCTCTCTCTATATATAGACACATATATTTATCTCATAAATTTTCTTAAGAAACAAAAAGGTAGAATTCAGCTATGAAATAATATGATTTTTGTTGTAAATTTAAGGACATAATTTCAGTAGAAATTTATTTTTTCTTCCAGCTTAATGATAGAATTTAGCGATTTTAAGCTAAGAGCCCAAGTCACGAGATCACTAATTCAAATTCAAATTTGTGTATCTATGTGTACATATATAATGTGTTTATTTGAAACCTTAATATGTATTGCATTTGAATTAATGTGTTTTTGATGATCTGGATAATTTTCCAACAGTATTTAGGAGCCTTTTCAAGAAATTTTGCTAGATTGTTGTTGCATGTGTATAAATTCTTTGGGGGTCGATTTGAAAGGATTCAAAACACTCATGCATTGTTTTAGGAAGTGTGCGAAGCTAGAAATCCCCCAGAGCTGAGGCAGCATGAATAAATTTGGGAAATTTTCCAAATAAATTGGATTGCAATGGAGTTTACATGGGAGATAAATCTTAGGTATTAATCCAATTTTGTATAAAATCATTGCATCATTCTTCTCTAAACTCTAGAGAAGTGAAGTTATCGAAATCCTTCAGAATAGCATTTTCAATCTTATGGCTTTGATTTTTTTTTTTTTGATAAGCAATCTTATGGCTTTGATGGCTACTCTGTCTAAGGTTACTGGACCAAATCGTACTTTTCAGCTTTTGGTTTCAGCTTTGAGAAGGAGGATGAAAGGCATTTGCATCACACGCAGATAATGGACCAAATTTTGCTTGAGTTTTACTAACGTTCAAATTCTTTGGATGCATTTAATGTTATTAATTCTTACCCAAATGTTTGAAATTTTGAGTGAGATGCAGAAAGGAAATAAGTGTTGAATCTTGTGGAAGGGTTTAGACTCTAGAGAAGGTTGTGGGTGTTTTAGGTGACTTGCCTATAATTCAGCTATGATGTCATTTTTATCACCTTTGGAGATGAAGAGAAGACTATGGAATCTGATTAAAAAACACAGAGTCTCACTTATCAATTTATTTCTCACCTAATGGCGAGTGCAAGTACAAGTTGCCTGCGGATACCTCTTTGTTCCCTCCTTACTTAAGTTCCTTTTCCACCATTGGAACCAAATGGCGTATTTCTGTGCGTATTCATCTTGCTATGTTTTCTAGTACGAAAAATGAGAGGAAAAAAAAAAAATGCAAATGACCAACGGCCAGTAGCCTAGCGGTATTAGGCCCCTTACTTCCCAAAGGGAGGGCAGGGGTTCAAGCCTCAGTGGAGGCATGCGTGTGTGAGTACCAACTAAGAAAAAAATAATAATAATAAAACATGCATATGAAAATACTCATGCTCAAAGGAAACTGAGTTGGAATCCTAGTTCATATTTTTCATCCTGCAACTCTGGCGGGCCTTTCTAGGTATTTGGGTGTGGATGGCACTGGTCTGGACATAGGGTCCTCTTGATAGATGTTTGTACTCCACAATTTTTGGCTATAATGCACTAACTCCTATGTATCCATTTGTATTATGATAGTTATTCTGGTTAATTTCTATATGGCCTTATTTGTTTAAAATATGCTATTCTGACGTGATGATGATGATGATGCTATTCTGAGGTGAGAAATATCTGAGGGACTGTTGCATAGTTCTTTTGCAGCAAATTCTTGAGTTTAAGAAAAATTTAATTTTGCAAAAACAAATATGATTTTATTAATATAACACATCAAGAATTCTAGATGCTACTTGTTTTGTCATCAATGAAAGTGAATTTTGAATACCTTGCTTTAATTGTTAACATTTTAAGCAGGATTTCTATGAATTTAAGATTTAAATATATATTGAGCTCTTAGGATGCTACCATCGTGGACCCATCTGAAAAAAGAAAAAAAAAAATAGTTATAAGTTGTGAATGGATATTGTAACCGGATGTGTGCTTCTGACTGGTCATAAATATGCAATGACTAAGATGTTTTATCAGTCTTCGCAACTATATAAATTTTAGATTATTAAAAAACCACATTGAAACTCTTGAAATATTTTGTTAAAACTGAGCTACATATTTTTTATTTGTTTATTAACTTTATTCTGAAGGAGGGTGGGGGCATGAGGCTTATTGTCTGTATCTGCATCACATCCTCAGAATATTTCAAAAATATTTATTCTGCCACCATTAAGTGTTCGTTCTTAAAATTAAAAATTTCTAGTTGCTGCTTTGAAAGAACATTTATCAAGAAGTAGTAAAGTACTAAAGTTTAAAAATTTATAACCACAAACCTTGGCACCCATGACAAAATGATGCTCATAGAGGATGCCCGGTCACTTAGATAGAAAGACTGTCTGTTACCTTTCAGTTAACAAGAAACCACCTCTAAGCCTTATTAAGTGGATTTTATGGTACTTATAATTTTAAATTGAACTTCTATTCTTCTTTGCAGGTATGGCATTTTAGGCGTCTAATACTTGAGGCACTTAATGCTGACTTGCATGATGAATTAGATTTTGTTGAACGTGTTGCCAGTAATAACTCCAAAAACTATCAGATTTGGTGAGCTACAGTATCTTTATATTCATTTCCACTTTTTCTTGTCCGTCCCTTTTCGCCTCAGTTCTTGTTTACTAATGCTTAACTATGGATAAAATGGGATACTTGCATGTGTGATGACTAAAAAAAATCTTATACAGATGTACTTGATAATTTCATTAAAAAATACTAGATTTTATGAGAAATTTTCAACACAATATTAGCATTGCTAGGGATCTTGTGATTTGGAAAAAGCATATCCTGGAAGAGGAATTCTATTTTGGCCTTGAAAGTTGGGGATATCGATAGACAGTTTGAGACAGGGTCAGCCCCGTTTGAGAGAGGAAGGTGATAGCTTACTTTAGGGTATATAATCTAAGTTATGAATGTAACAGCTTGTATGATGTAGCAGAATAGCACGTTGCCAAGATATGTGGATACATGGTGATGTGGCTGGAAAAATATACATGAGTGCTCAAGGGTTTCTATAGGCATAGGTGAGAAATCAGTCATGGCCTAGGTCATGACGTCCAGACGCAGGTTCTTCAGAGGTTCTCATGTTTGACCTATAAACAAATTAGTGGAGTTTACATGGAAGAGAACTGGAAGATTCACACTGCTGTTACAGCCTGTGGGCGGTACAATGGTCATATCAATTCATACATGAAAAGAGCAGCACTTCTAAAAGTAGAAGTTAGTTGAAGTTTTAGATGCAAGACATGTTTTTTAGTTTCTAGGAGTAAACTGCACCTAAAAAGTGGTGTTTGATAAAATAAGTGGAAGAGGGTCAGTATTTGTAAAACATGCATCTTAAGCTGCAAGTTTAATGGGTTTTCAACGTGTTGTAAACAGTATCCTTCATTAATAACTTGTTGCAAACATTAAACAAAAAGAGAAATAAGAACGCAAAAGTTAACACTACTTTACAGGACCCTCAATGTCAAAAAGGAGTTGCACACTTATTATAGCAACTAATCTCTTTTTAAATTGAGGTCCTTTTATGGATGTTAAGAAACCCTAAAGGCATGCATAAACCTTCTGAAAATTGATCCACTCAATACTGTAAAGAATTTGTACTCCTAAGGCCAGAAGAGAAAGTTCCCAAGCTACTAATGATAGTCTAGGTGCCAAGGAAAGACTCCCTTGAAACAATTATAATATGAAAATTTAAAAGAAAATAGCTACTCTACAAACATAAAACTGCGAAAAATAAATAATTCCGAAGAAATGGAATATTTAAGAATCCTGAAATGTCTAAATTAGTTAAATCCAGAAGTAAGAAAATAGTCATAGTATACAAAATTAACCAAGCAAAATAGTCATAGTATACAAAATTACTAGAAGCTAATGATGCATGTAATTGCTGTGGATTCACTTTCCCCTCTCTGCTCCTTGTACTAAATTATATGCTGATTGAATGTGTACCTCTCAAATGCATTTACTTTTAATTCATCACCATGCATGTGTACCTGAATTAAGTAGTAGTGTGGTACATGGAATGGGAAGATCTAATCTCAGAATTGCTGCACATATATTTAACAAAATTTGAAGTTTAGCGTCAAATAAAATGTGACTGCCCAAAGCTTTGATATGGGAAACCTGCCTGCCTCAACAAGGGCATTTTGGATACTAGATATGCTTTTGAAGGTTTTAATAAAGCACGTTCTAAATCTATCATCTATCATGATTAAAATCTTTTGTTTTTTTATATATATATATTTTTAATATTTTGTTTTGTTGGGAAAAAAAAAAAAAAAAAATCTTGCCTTCTCTTTCAAGTATGTGCTTTGTCAAGGTACATTACACTACCTGTGTTTTTTTTTCATAAGCAGGTATTGAATTAAGGATCCCCGAAAGATGTGACAATCAGACCTGTATTTCACATGTGCTTCCAAATCTGTTAAATTTTGTTTTCTTATCTAGAAATGACAATATCAATTGAATACAATTCAGCCAATCAGTGATATTGTTAGTGGACCCCATTCATATAAACAGAGGAAATGAGTGAAGAGAGCTAAATCCCATACCGATATTGTTCCCTTCCAGATATAATATCACTTATAAAGAGAAAATTACAAACTTTGTTCATAAATTAATTCTCAACACTAATAATCCGATCTGTGTTGTGAATGTGTGGTTTTCTGCTAAAGAAGAGGCAAAGTGTTGTTCTCTAGTATGTGCATTTTGTGCGAATCTGACAAGTTCATCCTTGAAAATAAAGTATGGTGCCTTGAAAAGTCTCTTTTTGTTTAATGAAGTCAAAGTTTCTATAAAATTATTAATTAAGGTTTGAAACTAGCACTTAGGAAAGTGGAAAAATGTTGTTTGGGGATTCTAAAAGTCATTCTAGGAGAAACATGTAATCAATAGCAGTTATACTATATAAGCAACAGTCCTTTCTCTTCTGTAGCAAGTCTTAATTAATGTAATTTTGAGATATTTTCTGATTAAATTACCTCTCCTAAGGTTTTTCTTTGATTTCCTTTAAAAATCTAAGCTCCGACGTTGATTGGAGTAATTCTAGTCTCTGTTTGCTTCTAGTGATATCAGTGTCTTTCCTCTAAGATCTGTCATCATTGCGGATTTATGGCTAGGCAAGGTAGGAAGATAGCCACAAAAGAAGACTTCAAGAATTTGCGACATCAACCAATTTCTCAACTGAGCACTATATTAGAACAATATCGAATCAATTCTCCTCTTAATCTGGACATTGGGAGACAAAGGAATAGATGCATATCAACATGAAAATTGGACAAAACAGTGTAGCAGAGAAAAAATTCAGCATCATTGCTCCTCTTAATCTGCATCGCTTTACTTTCTGGTGTGCTTTATTATTATTGTTGTTGTTTTCTGGGTGAGTTTTTAAATTGTTACCAACACGTAAAACTTGAGCGAAAATTATAGTCAACCTCTCTCATGGTTCTGATGAAAATATAGGTTACCTCAAGCTGTTGAGGCTCCATTTAGTTTGTTGAAGAAGTCCTCTTTGAATGTCGAAATTGCTCCTTCTAAATGAAATGGCATAACTGTCCCTACTCATCCTTCTAAAACGACGAGCTTAACCCTCCTTTTAGGCCAAGAATAACCTACATTAAATGAGGAACTACATTGACATTTCAATGAAATTGAAATTTCAGTTATGAATACTAAACACCCCAACCCACCCCCACCACCATCACCACCCCAAAAAAAAGAAGAAAAAAACTACGAATTTCATTTTGTTATACCTCTCCCTCTAAAATTTCTCCAACATCTACCTCTAAAATTTCTCTCTTTTCCATCTCTCTCCGACATCTACCTCTAAAATTTCCCTCTTTCAATCTCTCTGTTCTTTATCCTCTCAACTTATCCACATCATTCATGCAAGCTGTTCAACCTCTAAAGTTTCTCTCTTTTCCATCTCTCTGTTTTTTCGCCTCTCAACTTATGCACTTCATTCATGCAAGCCATTCAACTGACATGGATGCATGCGGTCGCAGAAATTTTGGTCCATAACCAGCCAATCACTTTCTTTACATTGATATATAGATAATATTCAATGGTAGATATTGTTAGCCACAGATTATGTCAGGGAAGACAGAGCATTTGCTCATGTCCTCTGCTATTATATCTTTGAGGTCTATTTACTTGGTAATTGGATCATTGGCTGTATATGAGCTTGCAAGTCTCAACAGCACTTTGGCCTTTGTGGTAGTTAAAGGATGGATATATATATAATATTTTATTTTATTATTATTATTATTTTTTTTGATAGTTAGGGTTTTAATAGTATTATTACAACAAAAAGTTAAGATGCCATTAGAGAACCGTAAATCCGGTGGACAACCTTTTTGAAGGTTGCTTTCTAATTGTGTCAATTTGTGTAGGAGGTGAGGGAAGACTATGCCATAGGGAGGATAGTTGGCTTTGAATGCGGTGTTTATGTCATTGTTATTCCCCGTATCAACTGTGGAATCACCAAAGATGAGTATAGCAGGGAATTTTTGTGAGGACATACCTTTGAATGGGTTGATAATGAGGATGCAAAGTTGCACTAGGATGAAGTGTTGGTGCAATTGTCATGATAGCTTATTTCAATTAGATTACTGTTTTACATATGTTGTTTTGAGTTGGGCATGGTGTGATTCGTGTGAATGCTTTCCTAGTTGTAATTTTTTTTAGGTAAGTTGTTGTGAAAGTATTTTGATTTAACAAGTTAAGGAAAACCTAGTGTGCTCAATATTCAATTTAATGAATAATGTTTTTTTTTTTTTTTTTCATTCAAGTGAATTTAAGTTTTTGATTTTATGTAATCCTTATTTACCCAAAGAAAAGAAGTTTTTGAGTTGTACTAATATATTTCTATTAGGTTGATTTTACAAATTCATCTTGTCCTGAGTTGGGAACATTAAATGCCTAGCTGTGTAATTGTTTTTTAGGTAGGTTGTGAAGTTGTCTTAACTAATTAGGAAAACAGAGTGTCCTTGATCTTGTTGCTTCATCCAATTTGATGCTTAATTAATTTTTATTCAAGTGAATTTATCCTTTTAAGTTTCACTAATTTTGCCTTTTAGATTGGTTTTCATTTTACTTTATTTTGGGAAGTTTTAAATGTGGGTTTATGTTATTTTTCTTTTTAAGAGTAATGATTTGGAATTCGAAAATCTGAAGCTGAATGCGAAAGAGGGGCCAGTGGGCTTCTCTCATGTTTGGTTTTCGGACTCCTCCAAACTATTTTCCTTCTTTTAGAAGATGCATCGTCAAGATGGAGAACATGTGTTGAATATGCTTTCCAGAAACAAAATCCTGGTTCCATTTCTGCTCACTCGAATGTATGAAGGACCTTTATCCTTTCAGCCCTTCGTTATGGTAGGTAGGCTAAACCCTACAAAACTAAACAAATAAAATCACTGTAAGGGTTAATACACAGATATTTAATAAAAATAAGAATTTTACAAAACTCCCATGGCGCATTATGCCTTGATTTATCAATAAACACCCTGAACTTACAGAAAAAAAAAAAAAAAATTCTCAAGACCGACCAAAACGTTATGAAGACATTGAAACTGAACGACCTAAAATGAGTGGCATCCCTTATGTATTGCAAAAGAAGAAGAAAGAAAATACTTTAATTTCTCAAAACTGATCTATTTATGGAAGAGAAGATAGAGTTTAGAGGGGGAATTTTGGGGAGAAGGAAGTGAGACCTTTAGAGAGAGCAATATGGAAGAGAAGATACGAAGAGTAGAGAGGGCATAATGGTATTTTTGTTTCTCTACACTTGTGCTAATATTAAAAACTAGGGTAAATTACACTAACACCCCCCAGGAGGGCCAGGAGTATGGAAAAGTTGACGGGGTGTTTCTGCAAGATTTTCAAGAAGTTTCATCTAGGTGTCATAAAGTCAAACTTCAGGGTGTCAGTGTAATTTACCCTAAAAACTATTAAAATCTTGAGCGTAAAAATGTCAGTCAAATGGATAATTTCAAATTGTACCATGTCATGTCAAGTGTAATATTATTTTGGAGTTATGCAATCATGTGGTAAATGTCAATCTACCCTTTTTATAATATTATTCTGGAGTAATACTAACTTTATTCAAATATTGTATACTATGTCCGGTGGTTTGAAGTTGCTGAGTTTACCCGTTCACCAAATTGTCAAGTAGAATAAAAAGGTTTTTGTTTTTTATTTTTTGCAAGATGTGACTGAATTTACCCAGGTATCTTTCAATTATTCTTGGTGTAAATTTTTCTAGGCATCATAGACGGTGGGTTGCTGAGAAACTAGGAACTGACGCTGTGAATAAGGAACTTGAGTTCACCAGGAAGATCTTCTCCATTGATGCTAAAAATTATCACGCCTGGTCGCATAGGCAGGTACACTCCGTCTCTTATTTCCTCCATTATGCTAAGAGTACATCAATTGTTTTTCTAGATTTCGAATGTTGATGTCACTTTTTGTTCCCTGATGGAGTGACCAAGGTTTTTTGTTTGTCTTCTTCTTCTTTTTTTTTACTTTCAGCACCTTTGGTTTTAACTTCTATAATTCTTTGAGCGAAGTTGAAAAACAAAATTTTGTTTTTCTATGCAGTGGGTTCTTCAGGCTCTAGGAGGGTGGGAGGATGAACTTGACTATTGTCATCAGCTACTTGAAGATGACATTTTTAACAATTCCGCTTGGAATCAGGTAAGGGTGGCAATTTGTGCACCTGCCAGATCTTATTGACAATATTGCAGTGTGATAAAGTGGTATAGCCATGGCACGAATGATTTAATCTGGCTTTAATTTATTGTTTCAAAAATCTAATAGATGATTGGATCATCTTCCCATTTAAACTATTTCATTTACCTTAATCTTCATAGACAAAAACTTGAGTAAAAAAGAAACCATGGAGGCACAGATATAATATTTACATTGATCTGATAAAGATTAGTGAAACGGGTGGGGCGCTTGCCATCCAACCCAAAAGCTTAGGTTTTTAGGTGGTGTTTACTACCCACCCTTATAAGCCCAAGGCCCTTCCCATCCGCATCCGTCGTGGGACAAGAACGTTCTAGTAGTTACTTGGCTCCATTTGACAAAACTTTCCAAATGTTGCAAAAATTTTCAGTTACACAACATTTACATTCAGCATATGTAAAATTATAGGTCATGTCTAATTTGATTGTAACTATATTTATTACAAATATTGAGATCACTTGCTGGCTTGGATCCTTGTGGACTTTGATGGTTAGCTCCATTTGGCAAAATTTTCTAATTTTTGCAAAATGCTTTCAGTTACAAGCACAAATCTTATATTCTGCATTCCTGACATGATATTCCATGTATAATTTGATTTTAATTACAAAAAACTATGAACAATTTAGGAAGTTACCTATTTTTTTTTTCTTTTTTATAATTGCAAGGTGCACAGTTTGTCATTGACTCAATCTGTCTCGTTTTTTTTTTTTTCTACTTACATTATTTATTTTATAAATCTTGCTAAAGCTGGCATTATGACCTGCTTCCAAACATTTTCCCACTATTTTTAATGATTAATTCCTGAATATCAGATTTATCTCGGCATCACTCTTGTTTTCCATCTCTTGCAGTTTTTTTAATTATTCTTATTTTTTGCTTTATATTCTTTCGTTGATTTGGCATGCCAAAAGTATCCTCTTTATAAGCACGAATAAATTGTTGGTTACAGAGATATTTTGTTGTAACAAAATCTCCCCTCCTGGGAGGCTTAAAGGCCATGAGGGAATCTGAAGTAAATTACGCAGTTGAAGCCATTTTAACCAATCCTGAGAACGAGAGCCCATGGAGATATCTTCGAGGCCTTTACAAGGATGTCACCCAATCTTGGATAAATGATCCTCAAGTCTCTTGGGTATGCTTGAAGATTTTGAGTGCCAAAAAAAATCACATTTTTGCTCTGGGTACGCTTTTGGATCTTCTATGCCATGGTTTCCATCCAAGCCAAGACATCAAAGATGCTTTAGATGCTCTGAATACAGAATCTGATTCAACAGAATCAGAATTGGCAAAATCAGTTTGTTCTGTCTTGGAACGCAGGGATCCAATGAGAGCAAGTTACTGGGGATGGCGCAAGCACATGCTTCGTGATCGGGCAGTTTAATGTCGTATTGGCTGCTTTGAGACTGTCGATTGATACGGGGCCTGCCTCCATTTCTGCTATTAGTCTATTTCTCATAATTTTAGCATTTGGGTTGTGTTGTGAGTTAGCTATAAGTCCATTCTGTTCAAGAACTGCTTTTATTCACTTCGAAGGCAGCTTTCGGCACCTGTTGATTAAACACAGGCAACTTCCTAGCTGAACTTGTTTGTGAAAGAGCATGTCTCCAATTTACTGGTAGTAGTTACATTTCCAGCTTTGCAGCTTTTCGTGGAAATGTAAACATCCCATGTATTTTAGAATATTATTTATACCGTATAGTTTTCTGTTTTCTTCCATCCATCCTCCTTTAGTTTCTCATTTGTCACCAACGAGGTAGCAACTGACCTGTCTAATGATTTGGTTCTTTAGTGTACTTCTTTTGAGATACGAAGAAGACGACAGTCTTGTCTTGGCCTATCTCCATGCCAAAAAAGTAATGCATTAATCCCATGTCACTCTTCTCAAATGTACTCACCGTGTCTCCTTAAACTCTTGAATCAAAGTTTCTCATTAGACTCATGCTATGTTCGGTAAGAAGGAAAATAGGAAGGGAAAAATAAATTTCGGTTCACAAATTTTCATCGGTCCAAATATGAACGGAAAATAGGAGAGAAACAAGTGAGTCTATTATAGAAGGCTTACACTACTACATCATTTTTCATAAATGTCTAATAAATTTCATAAATAAAGTAAGGAATAAGGGATATGTTTAATGATAAAAATAACTTAAAATTTTATTTTTCCTTTTATCTTACTAATTAAATTAAATTGTTAGTTTTTTTCATTCTCTCTAATCTAACAGAACAAAAAGAGGGAAAGTCTGCAAAAAATTGTTCTTCGAATTTTTAGTCTACTTGGGACCTATTTTATGAAAACAGTTTTTACAAAACTGAGTTGGCTGAGTATCAGTTTTATGAGAACAACTTAAAGTTGTTCTGTGAGTTTTGAGAATACATTCTCGCTTTGTTAGAAAACACGAAGAACACCTCCTCACTTAAAAAGAACGAACCCTTCGCTAGTTTAAAACCCTCTCTAGACTTTCTCTCTCTAGCTTATCTTCAACCACAGATTCTGAACCTGCCTCTCTATCTTACACTTCTCTACCTTATCTTCTCACTTTGATCAAGAATCTTGTTTGGTGGTCGCCGATCGATCGACAGTCTCAAAGCAGGAGATCCAAGGAGGACCATTTCTTGCTTTTCCAATAATGTAAATTTGAGATGTCCACACTTTTCCAATAAAGTGAATTTGGAACGGATTCTTTGAACTTCAATTCAAGCAGGATTTTTAGACAATAAAACAGTTTTTTTAGTTTTTGATTTATGAAAACTGTTTTGGAGTTTTTCTGACCAAGTAGAATTTCAAACTCAGAAATCTGAAAACTGTTTTCAATTTTCATTCTCTAAAAACTGTTTTTCAAAACTATTCTTTGAACTTCAATCCAAGCATGGCCTCAATGTCTCGGTCATCATTTTTTCACTCCCTTCCATTTAATTTTTTTTCCTTCATACGGAACGGAGCATATGAAATGAAAAGCAAGTTTAAAAGAGAGAGTAAATCGGCCAGCAAAAGTTTGAGAAATATGGGATCAAAATTGGGAACGGTGCCGTATTTCATTTCATGATACAAATCTTAAATTTTAATTTACAATGTGTATCACTGCTTCTAAAAAATTATATCAATCAAGTCTTTAAATAAAAAGAGTTCATTCCTCTTGTTGTGATTCATAAAAGGGCTTTCGTGATAATATTACTAAAAAAAAAATATTCAGTAAGACACGCGTTGGACATTTAAATTTAATTGAATTTTAAGGTAATCCAAAATCAAACCTATCTCAAAGATTTGAGAAATATTAGATTCGAACCAAATCATAAGAACTAGTGAAACCAAATGATGACCGATTTAGTTCGACTCAATTCCACGTGTTTAGACTTTCTTATATAATCATATTAATAGAATGAAAAACCAATAATTTATATATATATATATATATAATTTAGTTTGGTCCATGCCTATTAATGTAGTGCTTTTTTTTTTTTTTTTTTTCAAACGACATTGATATTGGATCTCTTAGCACATTTCATAATTCAATCAATACCGTGCATATGTAGTCTTAATGGGATTTTCTAAATTGTGATGTGAGAGTTTTGCGCCTTTTGCCATTAAGTTATTTCCTTGAGTTGCATCGGATCTTTTAATTTTAAGTTTTCATTGGGTAACGGTGATAATGATTAATAGGAAATAATTTTTTTTTTCAAAATTAATGTTTAATTTCATATTAAAAACTATGAAATGTGTTTAATTAGAATCTTAAAAAAAAAATGTAAAGTTAATAACTTAATTAATTTATATTCAAATTTAGGAGATCCAAGGAGAAGAAAATTATTTTTAATCTAATTATCAATTAACAGTTATTATAGGAGTAATTTCAATTTTCTAAGGTAAGCCCTAACAACAAGTAAACCTATATATATTTCCGTTCCTTCATTTCCAATTAAGCAACAACATCGTCGCCTCCTTTACCAGATAAATATTTTGTTATGTATAATATTTATAAAATTAGATAAATATTTATATTTGACGATGTCCATAATGTCCATTTAGATGTATATTAATTAACAATTTAAATGTAAATGAGAAATCCAGCCCCATAATAGATTGACCAGAAAAAGCGACAAACAAGGTACAAGACCAAGAACCCAAGACCAACAACAGCCTCTCTCCTCCTCTCACCCTCTCTCCTCCTCAAACTCTGTCTGTTCTGTAAACCAGACTTTGAAATTCCGGAACTTCCAAAAAAATCAAATTTTCAGATACCATTTGGTTTCACAAAATCAAATTTTGGACAGTCCCGATCTTCAAAATCTCTCCACTTCAGCTAAAATGATTCAAATTACTCGCAGTATAAAATCCCAAACCCAATTCGTTTTTTCATCATTTCACTCAGACAAATATTCCAGTTTTCTTCTACTAAAGATTGAATTTTGATGTGATGTTGTTTTTACCATGCTATTCTTTAATTTGTGAGGGATTTGAATAGCGCCACTATTTATTCATATATATAATACACAACACAGTTATACTGATATAGGAAAGAAATAAAGAGTTTGTTTTCTAATGCTCTCTAGAACTAGTTCTAAACATGGGGCTCTTGCCCTCTGTTCAAATTTATTCAGGTTCCTTATTGTTGCTCCATTTTCATCAAACCCTAACCCTAGGTTAATTCGTCCCAAATATGCCCTCCAAAACCCAAAACCCACCACTAAAATCTCTTCAGATTTCAGGTTTGCCTCCAGAATATCATCATCAGAAGTCTCTGAAACTTCAAATGCTGTAAGCCCCTCTTATGTCAATTCTGTTTGTTCTATACTCTGTAATCATAGCACTGAAACAGCTAGTCTTGACAATTTGCTGAGTAACTTCAAAGATGAGCTTAGTTCAGAACTTGTTCTGCAAGTTCTGATGAATTATAGGCAGTTGGGTAGGACTAAGACCTTGAAATTCTTTATTTGGGCTGGACTGCAAATGAGTTTTCAATTCGATGACTCTGTGATTGAGTACATGGCTGATTTCTTAGGTAGGAGGAAGCTTATTGATGATTTGAAGTGTTTCTTGATTACTGTTTGGTCGAACAATTGCAGGATTTCCTGCCGGACATTTTCCATCTGTATTAGATTTTTGGGTAGGCAGGGGAGAGTTAAAGAAGCCCTTTGCTTGTTCAAAGAAATGGAGTCCAAATTCGACTGTAAACCTGATAACCTTGTGTACAATAATTTGTTGTATGTGCTTTGTAAGAAGGAATCTTCAGGGCAATTCATTGATGCTGCTATTTTAATATTTCGAATGATTGGATCTCCCGATACATATTCTTATAGTAATATTCTTGTTGGTTTATGTAAATTTGGTAGATTTGAGACTGCCCTAGAAGTTTTTCGTGATATGGGTTGTGCCAGTTTGGCTCCAACACGGACCGCGATTAACGTTCTTATTGGGGATTTGTGCCTACTAAGTGCAAAAGAAGGAGCTATTGGGAAAATTAGGGTGAAAGATGCTCGGAGACCTTATACTATTTTAGTACCAAATGTATGCTCAAATACTGGTGCTATACTGCCTGCAACTGAAGTATTTTGGGCAACTTATGATTTAGGTTTACTACCCAGCACATTTGTTATTAAGCAGCTTCTTTCAGAGCTTTGTCGATTGGGAAAAATGGAAGAAGCTCTGAAGCTTTTGAAGGTTATAGAGGAGAGGAAGCTGAGATTTGTGGAAGAGAGTTACACTATTGTGATACAGTGTTTATGCGAACGTCATCAGGTGGAAGAAGTTAGCCATTTGTTTGGGAGGATACTTTCGCAGGGCTTCAACCCAAAGTTAGTAGTTTACAATGCCATTATTTGTATGCTCTGCAAAATGGGCAGCATGGATCGTGCAGAAAGGGTGTTTAAGATTATGAATAAGAAGAGATGCCTTCCAGATAATGTAACATATACTGCGTTAATCCACGCTTTTGGAGTAGCACGGAATTGGGAAGCAGCTTACAGCTTATTAGTGGAAATGTTGGGATTAGGCTGGTTTCCACATTTTCACACGTATAATTTAGTGGATAATCTTCTGAGGGAACATGGGCGGGTGGATTTATCTATAAAATTGGAAGGGAAAATAGAAGCCCAGATGTTGCACAAGCATTGCAAATTGGGTCAACTGGAGGCTGCTTATGAGAAGCTGAGATCGATGCTTGAAAAGGGTATCTGCCCTCCAATCTACATTAGGGAAGCTTTTGAACATGCATTTGGAAAGACTGGCAAGTTGAAGATAGCTCGTGAATTGCTTAACAAAATTGACGAAATAATCTACAAAACAGAGGAGACAGGACTTAAAGGTTCTGATCAATTGTGTCCATGAAGTGATTGTGAGTCTCTATTACTTTAAGTATAAAGAATAACCTGTGTAGGAGTAACTGTATTCATAATAAGAGTCCCACCATAAATATCTATTAATTCATGTGTACATATAGGATAAACCTGATTATCTGCACACATATATATGTATATATGCATCTAACCTTGCTTGATTATTCATTACTCGCAGGAGACATTTCTGAGATGGTTGACAGACTCATGTATATTGCTGCATCCATATTAAGTTATTGAATTGTCCAGTGTCCACATCAGGCCATCATTAAGGAAGGGAGAAGAGGGCGTGCTGTATCATAGTTCTGATCTTACGATAGGAGCTCATCGAATTGTCCGGGTCTTGCTTCTATGTTGAGGGATGGTTGACATTCCAAAGTTGCATGGGTTTGGACTAGGTATGTGTTACTTAGTTTCATTCTCAATCTTTTCTCTCAAAATTTTGCATTCATGCAAATTGATTACTATGGTGCTTGAATTCAAGATTACTCCCTTTGTTCTCCTGTCCTTGTTACCATAGCCATATTAATATCAAGTATAAGAAATAAGACATTCGACAAGAATTGAGTAGAGTCTTGTGTGTAATTTATTTGTCCTTAAGAATTGAAACGAATATTTGTGAAGGAGATGCAAAAGTGGTTGTAGTTCATTTTACCTCAGATAAGAGAGAGTTCAATAACCTAAGGTCAATTTGACCTATATGAGAGCATTGTGATGTAGTCCACAAGAAGTTCTTCAAAGATGGTTCGGTTTTATTTACATCCAATTAAAGTTTTGGAGACAAGATAGTTTAGTAATGGTTAAAACTCTTTAGCATTGTGTGATGTAGTTCCATTCCCGTGTGCGATGTTTGTTGGAACTAGAGGACCGTTGCCTAGTTTAGCAGTTTAACGCTTGAACATTAGCACCATTGTTGCGAGTGCAAGCCTCAGTGCAGCCGCTTTGTAAAATACCATGGAATGTAGTAGACTACTATACCCATGTCCAGGCACTCTGATAATTACCAAATTGAAAAAAAAATTTGAAATAGAATATAAAATTAAACAAAGAGTTAGAAAACATAAAATAAGACCAACACAACCTAAAATTTGACTCTATGATGTACTGGGTCCTACCTTCAAATTGAGTTTTTAAAAGATTCTTGTCTTTAAGTATGTTTTTCTTGAGCTTCTCATTATTGCACCAACATGAATTTTGAAAGCAAGTCTTTTCGCATCCATAAAGCGCAAAACAATTCTTCTACATCTTGAAACCTTAAACATAAAACTCTCTTTAAATAAGTCCTGCATATTACCAATTATGCATGGCAATACTCCTCATTTTTAGGTGGTGTTCTAATTTTGGTATATTATTAGAGCTTTTAGGAGAGTACTTCAATTGGCATTACCAATTATGCATGGCATTACCACTGGTTTTTTAGTGGTGTTCTGCTTTAGTTGGATATTGGGGCTAGTAAGAGAGTGCGCTTGTCTTAGATTGCACTGACTTGTCTACCGAGCCTTGTATATCAAAATAATAATATTTGTAAATATAAATAGACAGCCTTACATAACATACCACCAGCTGTTAGACTGGTTTCTTTTGCCACACCAAAGGTGTGGGGTTCAAGTCCTGAATGAGACATGCATATGCATGTCGTACTTATCAAATAATAAATATATAACTAAATGGAGCTCTAGAATGCAATACTTTTTTTTTTTTTTTTTCTTTCTAAATGTTAATTTCTTCTTATTTCTATATGTCAAGCATACGTATGTTAAAGAAGGATCTCTAATCCAACAGCTGCTAATAGAACATGTGCTTCCTAAATGCTGTACTTTAGAAGAACCACTTTCTTTAAAATTTGTCATGAGCATTTTTTTTTTTCCTCATGTTAACTTAGGTTTTGTCTCGCTCTATCAATGATGGAGGGAAGCTCAAAAAAATAGCACTTCATGGTGCATCAATCAGTTTGTTGAAATCTGATGAGCTGCTTTCTTTTTTCTTGAATTAAGTTTTCCTTACTTCATCAAATGCAGGAGTGAAGATCAGTGAAACATTTAATTCTATTTCCATCCATCTTGAAGGTGGCGTATCTTTTTGAAACAGTTGGCCAATAAATTGGGATCCAATAGAGGGTTGCATTGATTTCTGTCCTCCCAGAGATGTGAAACTACATGAAGAAGCTGCTCAAGGTGGAATGTGTTGATTGCACTTAGATTGGATTCCTGCCTGGTTCTTCAGTTGTTGATCTTGGAGATTCAGTTCAACTCCCAGTGATGCCATTCTTGAAATATTTAAAGGTATGCTGAATCCGTATGAGGTATTTTCTATTCATCTGAAGTTTTAAATTCTCGTCTTCTATGCATCTCTCTCTTTCTCTCTCTCTCAAATTCATTGAGAAGAACGTTAATTACGAAGAGGACATGCTTAGAAAGGTGGGATCCCAAGCTTGATTAGAATTGGTAATCTAAATTAGAATTTTCAAAGTCACGCATTTAACCAAAGGGCCTTTGCTTGGATAGCCAAGGGAGGGTTAAGAAGCCCTTTGCTTGTCTAAAAAAATTGTATCTAAATTCAGTTGTGAACCTACCAATCTTTTCTACACATTTTTCTTTATAAAAAAAATTGTATCTAAATTCAGTTGTGAACCTACCAATCTTTTCTACACATTTTTCTTTATATTTTTGTGAGAAAGAAAAATCTAAAAATCTGGGGATTTGATCAACACTGCAGTATTATTTCTTGGAGCATTTGATCACCCTGTACTTACTCTATGATAGTCTGTGTCATATGGACTCTTGAAAATGTGCGAGTGACACGTCAGACGCATGGCACTTGGGTATTTGACATGTACCTAGTAAATATATTTGATAATTCAAATTTGTTATTTAATTGTATACAGCTCTCTTATAGTCTTACTATTATGTTTTTTTTATAACTTAATTTCTTCAAAGGAACTGTAAGTGTCAGTGGTAACATTCTTATGTAAAAACGTCATTTTACTTGAAAAATAAAAGAAGAAAATCAATATTTAGCCGTGGAAATGTTTCCTTTTGTTTGGAGAATTAATAAATCCAAAGCATAGACACATACCAACACCCAACATGCTTACCCAACCAATTTAACATAGCTTATAGCTACATTCCTTGGACATGGGCTCGTTTGGTGAAACAAAGGGAGCTATTTGACAGAGTGAATGATTTATGGGGGCAATTACATTCTAGTGCCAAATGTGGGCTAGGGAGTGGTGCTATACAACCTGGAGTGTTCACACAGTTCGGGACTTGCGTATTTGTTATTAGTTTGCTTATTTCAGAGATTTGCTGATTGGGAAGTTAAAGAAGGTATAATGATAGTAAAGGAGAGGAACCTAAGATGTATTAGGACACTAGCTGAATTGTTGGATCAGTGAGCATAGAGTTTCTGCAAAATCAAGAAATTGAGTTGCGGTTTTACTGGTACTTAAGGAAATGGCCTTTGTGGAGTGCACTGTACCAGTCGACTCGAGTTGAGTTGTACTTTTAGGAAATAGATTGTACCTCGCTGCTCAGAATTATATATTGCACTAAAAAGTGTTTGTGTGTGTGTGTTTAATAGGATTGAACATATACACAGACACACAATTTATAATATATCACAATTGAGATATATTATTTTTGGTGTCTCCATCCAGCGTATAGTGAACATATCACTTGATCTCGTTGTTCTTGGAGTGCCTTTGGTTGATTCTTTCTCATGGATGTTTTTTGGAGCAACCTTTTTATGTTAAGTAGTGAATGGTCTAACAGTTTTGGGGTATGGGGTCCTTTCTCCTTCTCTCGTCATACACTAGAGGAACTTGTGTTATCTTGAAGGATGAATAAAAACTAAAAGTGGAAACTAAGTCTTCATGTTACATTCTGCAGGTTCTATACTCTCATGGTCTTGTCTACTGCATTATTTGGGAAACCAGCATTTAGGAATCTCATTTGCAATGGGCCTATCCTTGCTGAGGATGGTAAAAAGATGAGTAAAAGATTGAAGAACTATCCTCGATGTATGGAAGTCATTAATGAATACGGGACTGTAAGTCTTATTGTTCGTGTCATTTAATTATTGTTATTGTTCTGTGTTCTATTCAGTGATATATTATTGCTGCTGCTCTTGTTGGTGTTTGAGTATTCTTGTTCAAATGTCTCTTCTTTTTGGTTATTTTCTTGCATTTCATGATCTTGCTTGTCTTTTTCGTTTGTTTGTATTTTAAACTACTGACAAAATTTACTTGTCTGTTATACTGTTATACAGGATGCGTTACGACTGTACCTTATTAATTCAACAATTGTTGCCTTTTCGTTTGAAAAAGGATGGAGTTTATGGTGTTGTGAGTGATTTTCCAAAGTTTTATTTTCTTATTTCATATTGAGATTTGTTTGATTTGATCTTTTCATCTGGTTTGCTGATTTTTAGTATTCCTCCTCCTTTTTTATATTTTACTTTTTATCTTGGTTGATCTCCAATTGCTTGTATAATACCAGATAATGATGTCGATGCAGGTCAAGGATGTTTTTTCTGTCGTGGTACAATGCATACAGGTTCCTTGTTCAGAATGCAAAAATACTTGAGATCGAGGGATTTTCACCATTTGTTCCTATTGAACAGTACACTCTTCAAAAGCCATCTAATGTGCTTGATCAGTGGATCAACTCGGCCACTCAGAGTCTAGTTCGTTTTGTCTGCAAACAAATGGATGCATATCGAATGTATACGGTTAGATTTTTGCTAAACATTATTGCGTATTTATTACATTTTAAAGAAATACGTTGTAGTTAGAAGATGTGAAGCCTTTAGATGATTGAAATACTCTAGTATTATATAGCAAGAAAAACAGGCTTGAAATCTCCTTGCCTATCAAACAAGTAATAAAGCTCTTATAGGATTCTCATTAAGTATATAGCTCATGTGGTGAAGAGATGGATGGTATATGTATGAGCCTCATGTCCTTTGTTGTTGCAGCATAATTTATTGATGATGTAATTTACGGGTGTCGGATTGGCTGGCCTAAAGAGTCACCCGGTAGCTCATTTAGGTATGAGCTATCAGGTGCGGTCTATAAGTTTACTGTAAATTTGCGCAGGAAAGGAGAGAAGAAAAAATTTCATATATTGCATTACAGAATAATAAAGTTACAAAAGGTGGGATTTAATATAAAGCCTAACTGGAAGATGAAAAGACAGTTATCTCTAATAAATACAGATAAGTATATAAAAATACAACTCCCTAACACTGCATAAGTTTCTTGATGTGTTGTAGTAGCACTACTGTTGCATTATTTATTTGCTTTTTGTGATAACATTCGTCATTGCATTGAACTAAAAAGCACAGTGGTGACTTGGAAGCATTACATGAACATAGAGACATGGATATGCGAATGTGACAGGATCTAAAACTGTAATCAAGTAGACAGCATGGACAAAGTGGTATAAGGATGTTTTCATAGATAGACATATATATTGTATATGAATGTGATAAATCTTTTATTTATTTTTTATGTTTGTATGTCAATAGTTGCATAATTCAGAAATACAGTACTTGGCAATTATTTTAGACATAATTATATTATTGTACACTCTGCCTTGCAATTTTTAAAATTGCAATTGTGGCAGCCATGCGTCTTCATTTTAATTTTTCCTTTTTTATTTCGGTTTTTTATTTTATTATTATTATTATTATTATTATTATTATTATTTTTTGTATTTTGGTTCAAAGAAATATTTGTAAATAATGGATGTGTCCATGGCATTTCAAAGGGGGACGAGACTTTTGTGAAGGAGTGTTTTTGCTACATTGATAGCTTGTTGAGAATTGTCAAATTATTGAGCGGCTTAGAACCATCTATCTAGAATTTAAGATGTTTTTTTGGGTTGATTTATTTATTTATTTTTTGATAAGTAGGATTGCAATAGAAAGCGCTCAAAAGTGGGGAACACATCCCTCAAAACTCAAAAGCTACAGAAGACCAAATAGGGCCTCTAGATCCTCAAATAGTCCAAAAATTCAACTATCACCCCATGGATTTATAATTTCTCGTTAGACCCCACAAAAAAGAGTATTAAGAATGGAGAACTCCAGCGCCCCAATAGGTGTCTCCTTTCCTTCAAAGGATCTTCTGCTGTTTTTTCCAAGCCAGAGACACCACCAGACACACAAAGGTGCTACCCTCCATAAGTCACGGACTTGGGCCCCCCACTATACATTCTCTCCATGCCTCTACCCACCCTCTCAAAAAAACATGTTATGTCTCAGAAAACCTACTTGCCATTAAGGGCTGATTCAGAGGTGGATTCTATAACTGACTAGTAATGTTGTGTTTTTTCAGTTCACATGGGTTGCTTTTCTGTTTTCCATGTTAAAAGTTGTGTCTATCTCATTTACTGCTTTATGTTTTGTTCATTCTTTTGGTTGATTTGAATTCAGCTTTGTGATTGACTAAGTTAAAATATTCCATTAAAGAAGTAAAGAAGGCCTATTTACCTCCCATCTAGTCTATCCATGATTTGGAATTTTTTTGGGCATTCTGTGTGCCAATTGTTGACTACTCTCCATACCATATATCCATGGGAAGGAAGAGATGGACATTTTTTATTTTTTATTTTTCTATAAGTAGAATTGTAATTGAAGGGCTCTACCCTCCGCTCTGTCCATAAGCACCACCAAACACACAATGGTGCCACTGCCTCCCTCCAAAAGTTGCTGGCTTGGGAACCCAATGAACAACCTCTCCAAGCCTCAATCATACCCCTTGGAGACGGGCGCATAACACACTGAATCCCCAAACGTAACAAAAAATAAGCCTTTCAAATTTGGTGAAGCTTCTATGTTACTGTACCTAACACCATATTTTGGCGTTTGGTTATTCGCTAGAATATTGAAATTTTGATGCTATTATGTTGTAGGGTTTGAGTTTTTATTGGTCTAGCAGCTAAAAACATACCCTCAGCCGACAAGCATAATTTTGTACATATAACGTAGGTTATTACATTTTCACTTCTTACGTTACTAGGTATATCTATACCTCCAATTTCTTTTAGGTGGTTCCTTATCTCCTTTATTACCGAGAAAACAGGATTTTTGTTTCATCCTTTATTACCGAGAAAACAGGACTAAAATATGTAGTGGGGTTTTGATGACATATGGGAGAGAGATTCACTGAATTAAGGTTTTAACCTCAGATATAATGGCATGTTTTTACCCTCTTATTCCAATGTACTTCTTTGAGGTTATCAACATTGATTATTTCAAAGATGGTTCCATAATACTCCCTGTACTTTTGTATTTTCTCTAAAATGAAGTATTTTTTCCTTATTTCTTTTGTGTCTGTTGCTTATCAAAGGTAGATGTAATTGTTTTGAGCAACTGAGAATTCATTAATTTTTGTCACACATATTGGAGTCCTTGATTGATATATCATCGTACAAGATGCAAGTATGTTGACAGTAAATGCCAGAACTTTTCTGATTTAATTATGCCATGTATATGCAATTTCAGTGTGAATCGAAATTACCTTGAGTACCTGGTTAGAGCGTTAGAAAATGGGCTCGCTGATGTGGATTCTGAGGGGGCTTGCAGCAAGACAACCACTTCCAAAAGCACAGGAGGCCCCGGCAAGGGGAAACGTGGGAGAGGAAAGGGTGCTTCTTCCTGATCTGGTGGGCCAACAAGAAATGTGGACGATTTAGGCGGTTGGTCCTGGTTTCTCCTGTTTTTAGGGAGTGATGTAACTTTGTTGAATGTATAATAAAGAGATTTTCTCATGGGATCCCTTGCACATAAATAACCATTCCCTGTTGGTTTCTGCTATATGTTTATCAGCTTTGTGTGTATGCAGAAGGTAGTGCAAAATGACATATATTTCATGTTCAGTGCAGGTTATATGTTTAATGGGATCCGTTGAGTTATTCAGAAGGATTTGTGGGGAATTGTTGAAAAAATGAATGGCATTTAGATTTTTTACAGAATGAAATAATTTCTATTATGCTCTATAATAGATACAAAGAAAAATAAATGTGATAGAATATTGATCCCAGAGAGAGAATCTCCTTCCCCACGACCTCTAGTTTCACCTCACTATTGATGATCACTGAAAATTCTAGAATGCCCCGGGGTACAGGCTCCTATATATGAGCACATAATTTTTTGAGATATTTGAAAAATCAAATTCCCTGTACAGGCTCCTATATATGACCATACAATTTTTTGAGATATTAAAAATAAATCAAATATGCCATTTAATAAAATTTTTAATTTAATAATTAAATAAGGAGAAGTCATATTAACAAGTTAAAACAAATTATATAGGTAATTAGAATTTAAATTCCTAAATTTAACAATTTAAGGATATGTATATTAATTAACAAATTTAGATGTAGTATTAGTTTCCTTTTTTGAAATTGTAAGTAATGTTTCCGATTTTCTCCATTTTTCTTTTTTCTGGAATTTTGTTGGTGCAAGAGCATTTTCGTTATTTCATGTTTTGTGTACCGAATACCGTGAAGTGTGCCGGGTGTGTCGGTAGGTTATTTGGAACATTTCATTGAGTTCGGCATTCCTTGAAATACAAGGATAATCATTTTTGCATTTTTTCGTTTTTCGAGCCAGACGGTACTGTGAGGGACTCGCTACCAAAATTGTTGCATACAAGTATTTTAGTTAGGTCAATCTGCATCATGTTTATTTTATTTAATGTGTAGTATATGGTTGTGATTTAATATGTGTATATATGTGTATGTGTGATGTAAATTAAAATAAAAGAAAAATAAAAGAAATGTGATGGGACTCACCGTTACCATCTTTAAGTGGTCTAGAGACCACTTTGGCTTCCCATTTATCTCTCACTCCCGTAACTCTCTGTCTCTCTCATTCTTCACTTCATTTTTCTTTTCTTTTTGGAAACAAATTTCAATCTCAAATTTCTCTCTTAATACTTGGTATTTTTGAGTGCCGTCTGCGGCAAAACGGAGAGCACGGCGAGCTCTACGCATGAGTACCAGCAATTTCAGTTTTTGTGCGACCTAGGAAGTCCAAAAATTGAGGCCCATTTTGGGGGTTTTGCATAATTTTGAGGTAGGAGTCTCTAATTCCCACTTTCTTGCACCTTTGTGAGTTTTTCTATTAAAATTGTTGTTATACATGCTTAATTTGAGTTGGTTGTCTCTTAAATGATTTAATTATGTATATAAAGCATGTAACTATGTGTATTTGTTGATTTACATGGAAAACATGCCTAAGTGTTGATTCCCTATATCTATTGGGTGTTAACTTGCTAGAAATGTATATATGAAGCATGTAATTATGTGTATCACTTTATTTGGATGGAAAACATGTTTAAGCGTTAATTTTTCCATGCTCATTATGTTGTTAATTTGTTGGAAATGTTATGTGAGAGTATGTGAAATTTTCTTGTATAGTTTAAGTTAAAATTGTTGAAAAATGATGAATACACATGTATGGCATGACATATCCATGCATGAGCATTGGGAGGAAAATGGAAATAATTTGTTTGAAATGAAAAAGGGGAAACTTTGGGAAGAAGTTTTGATTAAAGTGTTTTTATGAAAACTTGGTAGCCGCGGAGTCACCAAATGGTCGGTGGGTTAATATAACCTAGAGGGAACTAGGGAGATTGCCCTAGCGTGGTTGAGCTAGCTGGGCCGCAAATGACGTCGCGGGGGTACCAAGGGTCAGGGACACTAGCCAATCATTCTCTCGTGTCGCTGCGGAGTCACCAAAGGGCGGGTTATATTAATAGTTTGAAAAGTGATGGATTTGGATTTTTAAAATGGGGAGTGACATACATGACATTACATCTCATGGCATAGCATTGTTTACTTTGAAATTTGATTGATGTTGTATTCTTTCCCCGGCATGGCATGACCCTTGTCCTTTGTTCCTATTCATTGTTTGGATTCACGGGATTATAAGAGGTGTGTCTTAGGTACCACCTACTGAGCAAATTGCTCATCCCATTTTATTTAATATTTTTCAGGGTCGAAAAAGGAAATAGTGGATGCCGATCCCTCTCAACCATGAAGAGGACTAAAGATCTATTTTGGCACATTTTGCGTATTAGTTAATCTTTTATAAAGTCACAAACTATGGAAAAAAAAAAAAAAAAAAATTCATTTTTGCAAATCATGGCAATGTAACTTAACTAAAATACTTGATTACTTTTGATGTAAATTGAGACTATGTATATGTTTATGTTGAATGAGAGGATGATGTTATACCTTTGAGAAATTAGTAATGGTTATAACGGTGTAATGTGGTAAATTTTGCCGTGAATTCAAAAAGGTTAGATAAATTTTGAAGGTCCAAGAGAGGCCATTGCATTTTTTTTATGCATTTAAGCAAGTTGTGGTAGGACCCTTTTTAGGGGAGGTTATGACGAATTTTTTTTAGAATTTGGTATCATTTAAGGGGTCGTGACAAATTTGGTATCAGAGACATGGTTCGAATACCATTAGGACGACGGGTAGAGGCCTACCTAGGGTTGTGTGAGAAGTTGTTTGCATTGCTTATGTGGTTATTTGCTAAGTGTTTTGCTATTTGAGAAGTATGCTTACTTGTTACCTGTTTAAATATTTATTGTTTTGAAATACATGCCTATTTGCTAAGTGCATACATGTTTAAATTGCGATACATGTAAATAAGATGTTTATATTAATTGCAAGCATGCCATATATGATGGGTTGGAAAGTATGAGATATACGATGGTGGCGAGAAGTAGGCACGGTTAGTGCAATTTTCTTTTATGTTAATGTGACAAGTAATAAGCATGGTATTGTGGTTTTGTCCATTTTGTATACGTGCATATCTATATTTTTATGTGTTTATGCGGTCGAGCATGGGATGGTTGTGTGAGTTTTGACCTAAGTTGGCGAGGAGCTCGGTTGCTCCAGGGTGGTTGGGTGTCAGTTCTTATCGAACTGGTGGCTTGGTCTTTTAGCTCGTGGATTGAGCTATTTGGTTTGTAGCTATTTTTTTTTTTATCCTTTTGTTGCATTTTGTATGGTGCTTAGAGCACGACTTCGAACGGGTTGCATTTCAAAGCATCGTGACTGCGTTGTGTGAGAGTTTCATGCTTTGGTGTGTGGGTTATGATGACCGTGGAAGTCAAGTGTGCGAGTGAGGGTTTTGGTATGACCATGGAAGGTTAGTGTTAGTGACTTGGGTCACGGTCTGGTGCGGAGGTTCTTAACGAACCGGACGTGGTAGGTGTGATAGAGATTGTTTAAGTCACAAATGTAGTCTGTGAGTTGTGTTGGAAACGGGGTATACAAAACAAAAACTTTGGATGAAATTTGGAATAGATTCCGTTAATAATTTTTTGCGAATCTATAAACCAGCGCGTTACTCTCCGCAAGGAGATGAACGTGGTATATTTACTTTCTCAAATCCGTTTCTGGGTGAATGAGAAATTAGATCCAAAGTGAAGTGTTTGAAAAGCCTAAATGGAAAAAAATGTTTAAACCAATTGAAGTTTAAATAAGTCAAGCTTGGGCTTGGGCCTAATTGTAAAGTCCGGATTATTCCTTTTATTAAATGGAATTTTAGATTGGGCCTATTTTTGGGTTGGGCTTATTTAAATGGGTTTCACAAATGGGTGGGTTTTTTGGGTGGTTGGTTTTTTAAATTAAAAAAACTACTTTTTAGTTTTTCTAAAGGGTTACACCTTTTAAATTAAAAAAACAATTTTTTAGTTTTTCGAAAGGGTTACACTTTTTTAATTAAAAAAACCACTTTTTAGTTTTTTCAAAGGGTTACACCTTTTTCCGAACCATCATAACCCATGGTTGCACCTACCCGAAAGGCACCTTACTACCTATAAATACCCCCATTTGGATCATTTGCAAATCACACCAAATTCAGAGAATTCTTCTCTTATTCTGAATTTTCTTCTTCTTCCTTCTCTCTTTAGTCTGTGGGTTCGAGCCTTAGTATTTGGGCTCGAGCCTTAGTCAGTCACTCCGAGTCCAAGTTCGAGTCAGAGAGTACTACACCGAGTCGGTTTGCCTATTCCTTTGATTTGCAGTGCTACTACCAAAGGAAGACAAGTCGTTGTATCCTGAGAGATAGACGCCACTGAGTCCGTAAGCACCATAGCGGGGCGAATCTGTCTTAAGGACATAGAATCAAATTCTAGCCTCGACTTTTAATCAGGTTCCTTTATTTATAATTTTTTATTTTATTTTATTAAACTATACATTATAAGTAATTATATATATATATATATATATATATATATATATATTATTATTTTATAATATTTATATATATAAGCATTATATTATTTTATATTTACAGATAATATTTAAATAAATAATACTATAGTATATGGTATACTTAGACCATATTTTGGATAACAATCTTAAGACAGATTCATATTATACTATAGTTTAATTATTTAAATATTGTTGTATTTTATTTCTGTAAATTTGACTGTGGTCTGTATATTTAATATCAGAAAAATGGCAAGTATGAGTACTACTATGCCTAATGTTCCCGTCAGTCATGGGGAGAAGCCCGAAAAATTCAATGGGGCGGAGTTTAAAAGGTGGCAACAAAAAATGATGTTCTACCTTACAACTCTGAATCTAAGCAAGTATCTAACTGAGACTGCCCGAGTGCTAGATGAGGGTGAGACTGACATTACCAAGCTAGGAGCTGTTGATACATGGAAGCATGGAGACTTCCTATGCAAAAACTACATCCTCAATGGATTGGACAACACTTTATATAATGTGTACAGTCCAATAAATACTGCTAAAGAGCTCTGGGAGTCACTAGACAAAAAGTATAAAACAGAGGATGCTGGCTTGAAGAAGTTCGTGGTCGGACGATTTCTGGACTTTAAAATGATAGACTCCAAGACAGTCATGAGCCAAGTGCAGGAGCTCCAACTGATC